TAGGTTACTGGTTTCTTCATTTAGTGCAAACGATTATAATAAACATTTTGGGTAAGCCTGCCCTAACTATTGCCGTGTCTGTCGGTGCCAAGACCCATTAGCGTCCTACATACTTACGTTTAAATTTTGATTTGAAAAGAAATTACCTCCTTTAATATTTACAGTTTATTTAAGCTATACCTTTGTCTCAGTTACTTTTACCGAATTCAGGTTCCCTATTCCGACTATCTTAATTGCAAACTATAAAGAAATGTCTGTTAGTTTCTTATTTCCTTAACAACACTAGCGGAGTTAAGTGATGGTATCATTCCCTACTCGTATTGTCTTGTAACAAACAGCTCTAGGCCCGAATGAAGGCAGATTAGTGAGAGAAGGATTACGTGTTAGAGCGAAACTAACCAAGGAGCTTTGCAATCGAACTGAGATATCTCCATGTACGCTTTGTTATCAGTGCAATGTATATATCGGTTATATTCTCATGTATCTTTATATACACTATCGATCTCCAATATATTATAATGTCGCTTTCATAACTCGCATCGTGTTATGACCGTCAATGCGATTCTACAACGACTTTAAATACGGATTATAAGAGTTTCTAAACGGTATTATATTGGTTTAACGGTTCAGGTCAATTGTCATTTTTACGTTTGTGAATAACGTGATTTCGTTTTTAAATTTCCTAGCAAGCCTGCTATTTCTATAGTCCATGACATATTCGAAACTTTACTAATCAGTGCCTGTGCCAACTTAAGCACAATTCCGATTTTTATCACATTGTAATTATATTTTAATTAATTTCTTAGTATAAGAGGCCAGAGTTAAAGAAATAATGCACTGTAGCGCACTTAATTATACAAATGAAACTAACTTAAACTTAACCTGATTACGGCACAAAGTTACTACAATGTTGTTAACCGATTTAAAAAAAACTATAACAATTTATCGTATATGTGTTTTTAAATATATTGATTACTACGTTCATATAAGTTAAAGGTATGTACTTAGAAAACAGATAACTTCAAGGAATGTTACAAATGTAATTACATTCTTACACCACCACTAACAATGTCGAGTTTATTTAACTGTTAGTATCCGAGCAATACTCTACACCACATACTAACCGAGAAACCGAACTTATATTTCACGATGCGATGCTACTACCTAGATATAAAGTTCCTCCATGACTCAGTGGGTAATAAAGTTTACAGAAGAAATTATCATCCAAGAAAAACCTGTTACATTTTCGGTCTGGGCCTCAGATTTGTGTTTCATGATCACTTGTGTTTTCTGCCTTCTGCGTCTCAAAGACGCCGTCGGCTTATTAGATCCTCTAAGCCCTCACGATGTTTTCATTCACTGAACGAGTGAAAGTTCATTGGTGCCCAGCCGGTTTTCAAACCTAGGAATGAGAGTCACACGCTGAAGCCTTTAGGAAAATATTATTCAGAATAAAAATGATGTTGAGTTGTGTCTGCCGCACGTCCGTCAAGGGACGGGGCTTAGAACAACAACATAATATGTAAAACCTTATTTACACTTCAATAAACATAAAAATATGGCATAAGCAACTTATTACACATTATTTCTCAATATAACACGTAGCGACGTTCATAATGAAGCAACTAATGAGCATTTGATCTCGTCATTATATCTATATGTATGTTAGGCGAGTATTGTGAGCACTCTCGGGACAGCGGTTCTCCGCATAACGGCGGTAATTAAGGCCAATTAGAGCTGGCAACACTGGGAGTAACGTCAAATAATATGTCATTTAGGCAGGACGATGTGTGTGAATGCTTTATGAAAAGGGTGTACGAGTATATTCTGCCTACCTCTTGCGAACCTTTTTGTTGGACTGTATATTTGGTTTTTCAATTCTAAATTATTATTACATACACTAAAAGCAATAAGAAAAAAAATATCAAAGTCACCGTGACCACGCACGCTGTAAAGCACGCGAAACGTCGGATAAATTTAAAATTATGTTAAATAATTGTAAATTTATAATAATACATAACTTAATTCCGGTTAAAAAGTTTTTTCTTTAAATTTGTAAAGGTCAATCAAAGACAATAAAATATCAATGGTGCTACAACCTCTTTAGGTCTAGGCCTCAGTTTTCCGAATCTGTTTCATGATAATTTTTCAATCTAATAGGCAAGTAGTTGAATAGCTCCCTGTACCTGACACATGCCGTCGACTTTTTGGGTCTAAGCAAAACTAAAAGCAATAAGACTATATTATTAATATATTATAGTGTCTACACCCTATACCATCTTTCGAGTTTTTCTACCTTGTAAAAATTTAATTCAGATAGGAGCAGTAGTTATTATTTCGTGACATTATTGCAACGATTTCAGAATTGTATTAAAACAATACATATATACATATACATCATCATCGATACATAAATCGGACCACACGTTAAAACGCGTGGCAGATTAAAATCTGAATCCAAGATGATTTTAAGAATTAAAAGTAAATAATCACTTATAATACCACAAGAGCTTCAAAATTATCGGGTATATCCCGATAGGTTCGTTGCAAACAAATGAAGGAGTCAAGTTTTTCTAAAAGTGTAGAAAAACTTGACGACTTTATTTGTTTGCAGGGAACCTTGAGGGAAATGCCAGATAATTTTGAAGCTCGTGTGGTATTCGGGGGATTATTTTTCCGACCCAAATGTCGGCCAATAGAATTGCACCATGAGACGAAATGTACAGTTAACAAATAAGAATTTCATAATGAATAAAACAACTACTTAATACTTTTCTTGAAGCAACTACCAGAGAAAATTTTCAAAAAATTATCAGTATAATACCATGTAGGTTGTACCACGTGACGTCGAATGGTGCAATTCTATTGGTCGATATTTGGGTCGGAAAAATAATCATATATATCCGTCGCGTGTTAGTGTCTCTAGCATCGACTGTATTTGTGTCAAATAATATTTCAAATACATGTATTTATATTTATAATTTACGACATTCTCATAAATATTTTCAATCGTCTGGTGAGAAACACGTGTCGTAATTAACGAATGACACTTATTATATTACTAATACACCCAAAGTTTATATTCTTCAGCTACGGAGTTGATAATACAATGCCATTTAGCACGTAAGAATACCTAATGACATCCCTGCCCCAACGACCTGACGCCTTTGCACGAACTTTAGTCTCGTTAACTATTCGTATACGGCAATACGATAATTTACGTTTTTTACACACGAGTTGTGTAGTTACCTATAGCTCCAAAAAGGCTAAGGAGCACATCGTGTGTGATATTGTTTATAAGCACGACTTCTAATTACGAACGATCACGTAGGTACCTAGTTCTTAAAAAATAACAGTGGTAAGGACGCAGAAATATGTCTGCTATATACAAGCTAAGTATATAGGAGCGAATTGGGCCGGAAATAAATATATAATATGTATAGTTATTATACAATTGGACATGCCTACAGGAAATAAATTTCTGCCAAAAGCAAGTTTCAGTTAATGTAAATTTATAAACAGTAGAAACAACGATATACGTTGCTTAGATATAAACGATTCAATAGGAATAAGTTAGTAGTTATTAGTACCTATTTACCCCGGTTCGGCGAAGCTCGTTAAGCAAGATTAGTATTCAAGAGGAACGGGAGAGCCAGTCCGAAGAATATGCATCCCCAGACGACTAATGCGACAGTATTACGAACCTTTTCAAGGATTAGCTAAACAAATCTAACCCAGTGATTCTATTAAAATTAGCATACCCGTTTGCTGTTTATTAAATTCACGGTTTAGTAGATACTTATTAAATAAATGAATATTTGTTTCTGTTAAGTTAAATTAGGTTTTAAATATTCACTGCGAGTCATGTCAAGTTATCCATTGCAGGGTTGCACGGCATTTGAGTGTCGGTATTCTAAATTATTCCGGCGGTCTAGGTCGCTTAGGTATATGAAACAGTGATGATAATCTCCGTATTTGGTCAATGTAAAAATTAACAATCATAGATTGTCCGGTGACGTACTGTCAAAGAATAGATGATAAAGAATCTATGATTTTCGTTTTAGGGATAATTTGAGGACGACTCTTAAGGGCATAAACAAAAACTTGATCACTCTTAGGTGCTACACTGTTTTAACTAAAGCATTGATGTACCTTTTCACTATAGCGTGAAAACAATTTGACAGAAAGAGATAACAAGAACTTAACAGTGCAATAAGACAGATTTAGTTTTAATAAGACATTAATCTTCGAGGACATTCCCTATTTCCATTGAATAATTAAGTCATTAACCTCGACATAACACCCTCTACCTGTTATTTTCTTTCGATTTATACGTAGTCCTAGATATAGACTCAAATGCGGAGAATAAAACCCTGAAACCCTTCATTACCATTTAAAGTGGGGCAAACGTTGAAACGCGATAAGAGATTATGCAAATTCAAATAAATTGTTAGTGGCCTCGGATTGTGACGTCTAATCCTAGAAGTACTAAAATAATTAGGAGTCATAAACGCATTTTGGAAAATAACTGAGCGTCAGCTTTCCATAACAATATAATAATTAGTGGTGCAGTTTTGCGTTGCCAGAGCACACACAGAGCACAAAGCAGCAAGACGCCGAAGTGACGCGAAAAAAGAAACAATGAGTTAGAAACTTGCTAATATTTCATACTCTGTGGCACTTCAGTTTCATGTTTCTTATCTGTTTTACTTTTTGCTGATATTATGTAACCGATTATTAAGCTCGACACATTTTGGTAGAACAATATTAAGTACTCTATATCACAGGCTCTTATTTATAGATTTTTCAGATTCAATTCAGTCGTTCAATCACTCACATTGATAAAAGAAAACAAATGAAACAGTTAAATTTTAATTAAAAAAAAACAACAGCAAATAGATAAATATAGCAATATAAAAGGAGGTTGATTCTGATTTAATCAGAATTGTAATTTCGTTTTATGTTACAGATGCTAATAATCAAACGCATAATTTTATTTTTTATTCATCTTTCTCTTCGCCGGGGGCCCCAACTAGATACCACCTGGTACGGGCACGCACTGCCATATTGCGAACAAGACGTTTTTTGTCGTCAAGAGATGGCGCTAAATCAAATAGCAAATCGGTTTTATAAGGCAACAATAGAGCTGTTTTGTACGAATTCGCTATTTCATGGAGGCATTGAAGGCTCTTTATTCGTACATCCTGTAAATAGTAATTAGTTAGTGAATTAGTATAGCAACTGGCAAAATGTACAAAAAAAATTCGAAAAAAATCTCAAGGAAAAAATTAACTTGGTTACTGATACAATTCTTTAATAAAAATCATCTCTAATGACAAGTACGTCATTGCAAGATAATATAGAATATAATTATTACGGTAAATTCCGAGATATTCAGTTCCACACTGACAGAATTCTGTTACAATGTCCGTTATGAAAAGATACATGCAATATAAGATTTTGGTCAGTTTATTATGTTATGTATCGAGTTAATATATAAAGAACGTAAAAGGCTATAATATAATAGCTATAAATATAATTCTTACCATAGACTTCACATACTCGGATAATTTTACCAATCGTGGCAAAATAGTTTGAAAACTTTGTGCCACAAGAATGTTTTTCGCTTGTACAAAGTATATTAGAACATCGATCATCACCACAAGTAGGTCTTTATTATCAGAGTCTAAGCTATCCACAACTAATGGCAAAATCTGAAAATAAAATTAAGAGAAAATTAATATAATTATGTTATTTAATCCAAATGCATATTTTTGCTTTATAAATCGTGGACTCCATTAGTATTGTTTATTACCATGGTAACTGGTTTTTCTTTGTAAATACAGATCGTACGTTTAGTTCACTTTTTTAAAATGCCAACAGGTAATGCAGTCGCGGCCCAAATTATTCACTATCATGTATCGATTTTCATCAAAGTGTTATCAAAATGATAAAAACGCCCTCTATCGGTAATTAATGTAACAATTTTTATGATCAGTATTCTATGAATATTTGGCAGTTATATAGAGACCTTGAACCGTACAGTACAAGTACTAGAAGTTTTAACTCGCTTATTAAGAAAATACATATCCTTTTATATCGTATACGGCCACATAAATTTATGAAGCATATTTATTTATAAGTTCTAAAAACATATAATATGCCATCTTACCTAAGCACTATTCAATAGTTTCAAGAAATTAAGTCCTCAAGTATACAGTATGCTATTTGGTATATCATAATTTGTTTTTTTAAAGGAATGTATGGTTTTTAAAGGAATATACTTATATTTTAATAATTCGATTGCAAAGACAAGATATAGTACTATAGAACATTCAATTATTTTTATTTAATATAGCCGGAATTCATGGCGTTTTTGTTTTCTGTTTGGCTAGCAGACGTTTCCTTATAAATTATCGTATCAAAAAGACAATTTTCATGTAAGAAAAGACTAATAAAAATACATACTTTGCCAACTTCATTATTTAGGACACTCTTAGGAGCCTTCTCCAATACATAAGCCCAACACAGCAGATATGTCTCCTTAGTTTCGCTGATTGGATCAAATTTCTCTGATAAATTAGCGAAAGATTGGAATATTCTCTGTCTGTAAAGTAAACTTGTCCGACAATGGTGTCTAGCGTTTAGACAGTCTGGTTGATCACTGACAATAAGGCGAATCGCTTCGGCTCCTTGCTGGCAGCACTCGGGATTTGATAGTGTTATTAGTATCTGTAATTAGATGGCACTGTTGGGAACTTTAAAGGCATTATTTCTTATTATTATCAAAATGAAGGAATTGTATTCTTGGTCATGTCATAAGTTAATTTTAAAAATTACGGCCTTATATATGTCGTAACCATGGTAACGAACACAGTAGTGTTTTCGTCTATAGTTTATAATAAGGCCAGTACAGTTTATTGCACGATAAACAGATTGCGCTTTTATATCTGATAAGGTAAAACCAAGGATTTCAGGTATTTTTGTGAACACTGTTTTAAGAATCATCAATAAAACAGACACAGATAACTAAGTTAAGATATTAAATTAATTTAATTAACTTTTAACTAACTAATAACTTTAATTAACCTGTACGAGTTTATTTACACACTAATGTGTATGTATATTGCATTATAAATGAAAAATTACAAACCTTTTGAAGCCAAAACATAAACAAATCACTTCCTCTCAATATTAAAGCCTTTGCTATCCATCCAAATAATTGTATCAACGACAAACAAATATTTTCATCTTTACTGCATGATGACAGATAACTCTTCAAAGATTCATATAACAATTCAAATGTTTGACCAAATTCAGCTTTATTCAAAAAATGGGCTACTAAGCAACAAGCTCTAGTCTTAATAAATTCATTATCATTATTAATAGCGATTTTTAATGATAGATTTAATATATGCAGATAACTTGAATCATACACATTTTGGTGTAATGATCGGTACAAGCACTCCAATAGTGGATAATAAACAGCTTCATTTTGGCATTTTTCCATGATTTTTGAACTATGGCGCTCCAACACAGCCTTTTGCTTCTCACTTGGCAAGCTGCACATTGTATTTGATATTAATGTATATCCATGCACTAAGGATTCTTTTGACCCTGATTTGATTTCCTTCAATAACCAAGTAAGTATGGAATCTATTAATCCATGATCACTTTCAATTTGTGTAACCTTTTCTTCTGTATATAAACTTGTGTTAGAAATTGATCCATTTAATGCTTTAACAACATTGTATGCATTTTTATCATCTACAGTAATTATTTTCAACATCTCCTCAACAATTACTCTCGTAAAATCATCTATACTTGCCAGATTAGAAAGCAAATTAAGGCGTTTTTGTAAGATGCTTTTATTATCTACCATTTCCTCGATATTACATTTTCCTTTTACAACCAAATCCATGATAAGCTCTGGATATTTTCTTGCAATTGCATTGGTTGTTTCCACACTAACAAGAAGGATATCATGGTCATCTGAATGTTGAACAATATGAATTAATATTTCTACAAAGGGCAACACTAAATCTGGTTTCAAAACATCTATGGTTCTGATAAGAGCTTTAAAACCTGCCATTTGATGTTCTTTTGTTGGCTCACTTACAGCAGTTAGGCAAAGCGGTATTATTTCATTTGCTTGTTTATCAATGTCGCCTACAACATCCCAACATTTTGCAAGATCATATAGGTCTCCTAGGAATTCTAAACTTGCTACTTGCAGTTTTGCTGATGTTTTAAATTCATAATATGATATAATTGCTGGAATCATTGTTTTTGTTACAATAAAACATGATTCCTTTGAACTGTTAGCTGTGGAGAGCAGAACTCGTGATGTTTCTACAAATTGAGCCACAGTTGTTGATTCAGCCAGAGATGTTTGCATTGATATAATGATACCTTTAACAAAATTCTCAAATGATTGATCTGTGTTATAAGAAGCTGCCATGTTAGCAATAAGTGCTGATAAAGCTTCATGAGCAGCCAATTTAAGCTCTTCATCAGTCTTATGAGAAATTTCTCTATATAGTGATGACCAAAGTGCTTTTAGAAATGGTATATAGGTTTCTGGTTTAAATTTTTTACAGCTCTCTGCCTGAAATGAGAATAATTATGTTATTAATTATTATTTATGAAGTAACCATAATATAGAATCTTTATTCAGATTTGAGAAAGAATCTATTCAGAAAATGAATACAATATAATTAAACTGATAATTGGTTCCTACCAGTAATCTCAATGAGTCTAACTTTGCTACTCTTAAACTGGAATCTAACTTTTCTATTAACAGTACAAGGCACTGTTCTCCAAACTCCTGAACTCCACATAGACAAGGGCAAAGTGCTAAGGCCAAATCGTCTCGAGAGACAGCAGCTGGGTCATCAGGAGACGGATGGAAATCAATTGGATAATAACATGATATCACTTCAAACATTTCATCAACTAAATGTCCAAGAGGAATGTTCGCTAGGAACTTTGGTAGAAAATTAAAGAGAAATAATAAATTTCTTGGATCTCTTTCTCCGTCCATGGATGATATTAAACCAAAAACAAAGTCAGGCCCCAAGCTTTTCATATCTGAAATTTAAGAAGCTGTTTTGAAAAAAATTGTGGCATGTTTCATACTATACTGCATATTAAAAGTCTTTATAGAATTAGATTAAAACTATAGTATTAATATATTTTTATAAATAAAATTTATAATGAATAAATCTTTTAATTATATTTTTAACTATACTTACACTCCATATCTTTATCCATGGTGATTTGCATAGTCAGGTAAATATTAAGTCTGTCTTGTCTTAGCTGTGACTGGCAGGCAATCTCTCTAAACAAGACTGAGAAGTATTCACCACAAAGACTTATGTTAAAATGTTTCATACCAACTATTGTCAAATAACCATCTAAAACTGCTGGTATTACTCTGTGGTTATCTTTTAGACGATCTATGTAAAACTTTGATATGAAATTTATTTGTGTTACTGTTAAAAAGTCTTGAGGAATTTTTTTAAGCAAATTTGTGAAAAATCGCATTCCCTTTTCTCTGTTTTCAGAATCTTTATGAGTCAGCACTCCAGCCATGTTCTCAACAATTCTGGTGATATCAATGTGACCAGACACAATATCTAAAAACAGTGAATGATAACATTTATAACTTCAGAATTCAAAAACGAAATGTAACAATTTTGTGGTAAACATTAAATTATTAGCAATCTAATTTCAATGTTATGTTCTGAGTGAAGAGTTAAACGATTAAAACTTTCAATACCTGTGACAATACTTTGCATTTCATTTATTATGTCGTCGTTTTTAATAATTTCATCGGCTAAAACTTCCTTAAACCAAATTGGCTCCATAGTTAGAGATTTGTATTAAAATTTCCTCGGGAATAATGTTATACCAATTCTTAATTAATGTTACTTTTTCAATCGTCACTTATGTATACTGTATTTATATTTAAACATATTCCAATTTGATACTTTTAATTTTTTTTTTAATTACAATTTTGCAACACTTTTTTACATTTGTGATTAGACTTTAGAGGTATTTTATTTTGATTAGAACTTAGAAAGCAAATATTTTTTTTTTTTTTAATATTATGACCTGGTAACAAAGACCTTTAAGTCATGACTTATTTGGAAAGAAAGCAAATATACATAGTCTGAGCCACAGATTACTTATTAGTAGTAATATTTTTAGCTGGCCCGTCGTAAACAAATGCTTGATGTCTTTTAAAAACTAAATCGTGAAGTCAATGATGCCAACTCCGACAGAATGCCCCTAAAATTATCATGATGATCATGAATATAAATATATTTCATAACTTTACTTTCTTGAATTTTAGTGTTTCTTATTTGTTTATTCTTAATTTTGAAGTGAAACTTCTTTAGGCGCATGAGGTTAAAGTTTTTACGGAACGTCGCGAAGATGTGCAGCGTTTTCGTCGAAGAAAAGGGAGAGACCGATTGAGAGAGTGTGAGAAGGGAAGGGAATTACCTTATAGAAATTCTATTTTCAAAATTAAAATTTCCTAAAGAGAATTTATGAAATATTAGTATTTTATATTTTATGCAAAATAATTTATTGAATCTCAAATGACGAATTGTAAATTAAAATGCCACATGTTTTTATTATCGAAGAAATATATTTTAAAAAAAAGGGTGCGTGTACTTATGTACCGCGTAAGAAGTTATACTTCTTTGGCATTATTAAAAATAGTTTTTGATTGCATGCAATAATTAATTACAATTAAATAATCAAAGACTGGAAAAGGAGTCATTAAAGTCAATAAAGTTCAGTTTACATTTGAAAAATTAATTAAATAAATATTATTATTATTTCAATTAAACAAATAAAACACTATTTATCTTTAAAACATTTTTATTTCATTTACTATATTTTTAAGTGTCTCTAATGTCTTCATCAGAATTTCGGTTTGTAATTTTAAATTAATATTACTTGGTTGTGATCTACGAGGCTCCTCCAAAACTATGCTTCTGCAACAAATAAGAGAATATTAATTTAAGCTCTGTCCATCAAAACTTAAAATTTTTTATAATTCATATTATAAATTTTTTAACACATAATTAATATAATTATATAAATGTGTTAATAATATAATTTGTAGCAATGTAAGACCTGGATACAACTTTCTTTATATATTTAGAGATAGAGATAATTTAAATATAATACCGGTGTCTTCCTTGTAGGTTTCTTTGGAGTTGTTTGGGGATTCTTGTTGTTCAGTTCGACATGATTTTCTTTTAACCTTTCTTTAATCCTACAAAATAATGAAATTGTTAAGTTATGTTGTCACTGTTGTGCACACCTTTGTTTGGCTTTTTAGTATTCAAGTTATGTCAAAACTGATTTATTACCTTGTCATTGTTGGCTTTATTTGCTTTTGGGATATCAATTGTTTCCAAAATGATTTTATTTTAATAACCTGAAATATATAAATAACATCAATTTAAGTATCATGGTGAGTGGTTCGCACTCAGGTATTAAGGTGTATTATACCCACTGTCCATTATAAGTGGGAATGGGCTCACTTCTGCAGGACAGAGTTCGGTACTACAAGTGCAACGGATGTTTGAGGTATTACAATATCTCTAACTACCCTGTAGGGGAATAAAGTAATGTTGTAAGCATATGCCTATGCTGAAAGGTTGAACCTTGAACATCACCATACATCATATTTATAATTAACATTCCTACCTCGACACCATCACAATCAAATTCATTGAAATCTACTTCAAAACATTGTGTCTCGAGAAGGTGATGGTGGCTTTGTTCCACCTCAGTTTTTGATGTTTCACGGCGATAAGATGACAACTCTTTTTTGTATTCAATTTAGTGCACTTCCACTGATTCATCAATTGTTTTTTGTCTCTTGTCCTTATATTTGCTAGATTAAATCTGATGTTTTGATTAAATAATGTGGTCATTTTTTTGAGATGCAGGTACTTATTAAAATGTTTACTTCTCTTTCGCTCCAAGCCTTCATTTTCTCCTTATTAGTATTCGTGCTTAAATCTTTGTTCTCAATATTGATATATAGGGTCGTAGAATATTTCTAAAAAGTTGCTGTAACAAACGCAATAAACAAAAGCAATGAATAATGGTTCATGTTTCAGTTTTAATCAACAATAATACTCGATATACATACGGATAGTTAACCTCATGTATTGAAGCACTCAGGAAGGTTAGCACAGTTTTTTCACAAATATTTTATATTATTTCACAAATATTTTGTATAATGAAAATAACTAGGTATATAATTATTAATTTTACACAATAATTAAAACTCCTATATTTGTTTAAAAGGTAAATGTCATTGTCAGATGTCAATTGTCATGGTCATTCAAAATTCTTGTAAGCTGCTAAGCTAGAATATGCGTGAAGTTAGCTTCACGCATATTCTATTTCTTTTACTTGTAGTTTGTCTTATTCCCATCTCGCTCCGCACGCTATATCACACTGCCAATTTTGTGTCATAGGTCGCGCGCAATCATAAAATTTCACTCTCATCAATTTTTCATAAGCGCCTAAAGAAGTACAACTTCCAAAAAGGGTGCGTGTACTTATGTACGCGCGTAAGAAGTTATACTTCTTGGCATTATTAAAAATAGTTTTTGATTGCATGCAAATAATTAATTACAATTATTATATTTATAATTAATAATCAAAGACTGGAAAAGGAGTCATTAAAGTCAATAAAGTTCAGTTTACATTTGAAAAATTAATAAATAAATATTTATTATTATTCTCTTACATTAAACAAATAAAACACTATTTATCTTTAAAACATTTTTATTTCATTATACTATTATTTTTAAGTGACTCTAATGTCTTCATCAGAATTTCGGTTTGTAATTTTAAATTAATCATTACTGGTTGTGCATCTACAGGCTTCTCCAAAACTACTTGCTTTCTCAACAAATAAGAGAATATTAATTTAAGCTCTGTCCATGCAAAACTTAAAATTTTTATAATTCATATTATAAATTTTTAACACATTTATATTAATATAATTATATAAATGTGTTAATAATATAATTTGTAGCACATGCTACAGACCTGGATAGCAACTTTCTTTTATTCTATTTAGAGATAGAGATAATTTAAATATAATACTACGGTGTCTTCCTTGTAGGTTTCTTTGGAGTTGTTTGGGGATTCTTGTTGTTCAGTTCGACATGATTTTCTTTACTTTCTTTAATCCTACAAAATAATGAAATTGTTAAGTTATGTTGTCACTGTTGTGCACACCTTTGTTTGGCCTTTTTAGTATTCAAGTTATGTCAAAACTGATTTATTACCTTGTCATTGTTGGCTTTATTTGCTTTTGGGATATCAATTGTTTCCAAAATGATTTTATTTGTAATAACCTAAAATATAAATAACATCTATTAATTTAAGTATCATGGTGAGTGGTTCGCACTCAGGTATTAAGGTGTATTATACCCACTGTCCATTATAAGTGGGAATGGGCTCCCTTCTGGCGGGACAGAGTTTCGGTACTACAAGTGCAACATGGATGTTTTGAGGTATTACAATATCTCTAACTACCCTGTAGGGAATAAAGTAATGTTGTAAGCATATGCCTATGCTTGAAAGGTTGAACCTTGAACATCACCATACATCATATTTATAATTAACATTCCTACCTCGACACCATCACAATCAAATTCATTGAAATCTACTTCTAAAACATTGTGTCTCGAGAAGGTGATGGTGGCTTTGTTCCACCTCCAGTTTTTGATGTTTCACGGCGATAAGATGACAACTCTTTTGTATTCAATTTAGTGCACTTCCACTGATTCATCAATTGTTTTTTGTCTCTTGTCCATATTTGCTAGATTAAATCTGATGTTTTGATTAAATAATGTGGTCATTTTTTGAGATGCAGGTACTTATTAAAATGTTTACTTCTCTGTTATATCGCTCAAGCCTTCATTTTCTCCTTATTAGTATTCGTGCTTAAATCTTTGTTCTCAATATTGATATATAGGGTCGTAGAATATTTCTAAAAAGTTGCTGTAACAAACGCAATAAACAAAAGCAATGAATAATGGTTCATGTTTCAGTTTTAATCAACAATAATACTCATAATACATACGGATAGTTAACCTCAATTGTATTGAAGCACTCAGGAAGGTTAGCACAGTTTTTTCACAAATATTTTATATTATTTCACAAATATTTTGTATAATGAAAATAACTAGGTTAATTATTAATTTTAAAACAATAATTAAAACTCCTATATTTGTTTAAAAGGTAAATGTCATTGTCAGATGTCAATTGTCATGGTCATTCAAAATTCTGTTAAGCGCTAACTAGATGCGTGAAGTTAGCTTCCCATATTCTATTTCTTTACTTGTAGTTTGTCTTATTCCCATCTCGCTCCGCACGCTATATCACACTGCAATTTTGTGTCATAGGTCCGGCAATCTAAAATTTCACTCTATCAATTTTTCAACGCCTAAAAAGTACAACTTAAAAAATAATTTATAATTTGTATTCATTTTCGACACTTAATATTTTATTAAATTCCAAACATATTTTCCTTTTTCCCTCGCTCTAAGTCTCGGAAATCTAAAGTTTTAAATTTTATATAAATATTTTGCCAAGAGTTAAAAATTAGTTTGCCAAAGAAGTTTCATTTCCGACATGTGTACTTTGTACGCACGCACTTTTTTTAACAATTTTTTTTTTATAGAACAGGGGGCAAACGGGCAGGAGGCTCACCTGATGTTAAGTGATACCGCCGCCCATGGACACTCTCAATGCCAGAGGGCTCGCGAGTGCGTTGCCGGCCTTTCAAGAATTGGTACGCTCTTTTCTTGAAGGACCCTAAGTCGAATTGGTTCGGAAATACTTCAGTGGGCAGCTGGTTCCACAAAGTGGTGGTGCGCGGCAAAAACTGCCTTGAAAAACGCTCAGTTGTCGGGGATAGAACACAGCCTTGTGGGACCCCCGCGTTCACGGGTTTAAGGTCGGAACATGCTCCGTCGATGACGACCTTGATGCTCCAATCGGCCAGAAAGCTGGAGATCCAATCGCATAATTTCTCGGGTAACCCATAGGCTGGGAGCTTCGAGAGCAGTGCTCTGTGCCACACCCGAAGGCTTTCGCTATGTCCAAACTAACCGCTAGCGCCTCCCCCTTGGACTCAATTGCCTCTGCCCATCTATGTGTAAGGTATACAAGAAGGTCACCAGCCGAACGACCACGACGAAAGCCGTACTGATAATCGCTAATCAGCTGGTGGCCCTCTAGATACCTCAAGAGCTGGCAATTAACAATGGATTCCATTATTTTGGAGAACAAGGGGGTTATGGAATATACCTTTAATTACGATAGTTGGACGGATCAGAGCGATCGCCTTTTTTAGGGACCGGATGTATCGGAGCGGTTTTCCAGCACTTCGGGACAGTGCCAAGCGAGTACAGGTACCGGAAAAGGCGCGTTAAGACCGGAGCCAACTCAGGAGCACAAGTACGCAGCACAATTGGGGGGATACCATCCGGCCCGCTCGACTTATGAATGTCCAAGGAAGATAGTGCTTTGCGGACAGCACGTTGCCGGAATGTAATTTCCGGCATCGAAGAATCACACCGCGAAATGGTCGGTGGTGATCTTCCTCGGTCATCCAAAGTCGAGTTGGACGCGAAGAGACAGCCCAAAAGGTCGGCCTTCTCCTTCGCAGTGTGGGCCAGCGAGTCATCCTCCCTGTGCAGTGGTGGAATGGCGGGCTGACAAAAATTCCCTTGGACAGCTTTGGCAAGAGACTTCTGGTCTCGCTCGAGTCCCTGAAGGGAATTGGGCCAATCTCTTGCCAAATCTGGCAATGTGCTCAGACTTTGCTTTAGCGATTCCCCGCTTGAAGGACCTGGAGGCTGAATTGTATGCTTTTTTACGTTCGCCGATAGTCACAACACAGGATGTCACCGCTTCTGCCCAGGTTTTAAAGCATTCACGCTTACGGCGCAAAGCCGCTTTGCAAGAACGCCTAATCCAAGGCTGGGACTTGCCACCGACCGGCACCGCAGAGAATGGAATAAAAAGTTCCATACCCTGCAGGACCACCTCGGCAACAGAGTCAGCGACAGCATCTGGAGTACTCGACGAAAAGCAAATGGGCCCCCAAGGGTAGGACGCAAAAAAAGACCGCATCCCATCCCAATCTGCTGACTTATAGTGCCACACGCGGCGACAGCCCGTGAAGCTAGGCCGTAGACGGCACAATGCTCCGGACCACACAATGATCTGATGAACCCAATGGTGGGTCAACAGAGACTTGATAGTTCTCCGGATGTGAAGTCAGCAGAAGATCCAACAAAGAGGATTTATGACCATCCACATCTGGTATTCGCGTAATCGCAGGGACCATTTGTGTCAGGTCGTAGGCTAAAGCAAAGTCGTGAAAGGATCTTTCCGCGTGATCGGTGGTATCAGAGCCAAGCCAATCAGCATGGTGGGCGTTAAAATCGCCAAGTATCACGATTTCATCGGTAGGAACCCTTTCGAGCAGGGAATCTGTAGAAAAAAGTTCTTGATTCAAAACTTTTTAATTTTGATCCTTAATATCAACAACAAAAAGAATCAACAAGTACGCAGCGCTATTGTGGGATGCATCAGGCCCGTCATCTTATGAATGTCTAAGGAGGATAAAGCTTTGCGAATAGAACGCAATTTTCGGCAAATTTGGCATTATGCAAGTTCGCCCAAGCGATTTCCCGTTTGAAGGATCTAGAGGCTGCGTTATATGCTTTTTTACGTTCCCCGATAGTTACATCACATGATATCGCCATTTCTGCCCAGGCTTGTTTGCGACGCACGGCCACCTTACAAAAACGTTTAAACCAAAGCTGAGACTTGCCACCGATCGGTACCGCAGATAATCAAATAAAAATTTTCATACCCTGCAGGACTATCTCGGAGACATAATCAGCGACGGCATCTGGAGTACCATCATCCGGAACCAATCTGCTGACACACGCGGCGATACCGGACTGCAGACCATGTCATGATGCAAGGAACCCAATAGCGAATCAACAGAGACTTCGTATTTCCCCGATACGAAGTCAGCAGAAGATCCAACAAAGAAGGTTTATGAGTATCTGGTATTCGCGTAACCATAGGGACCATTTCTGTCAAGTCGTATGCTAAAGCAAAGTCGTGAAAGAATCGGTAGGAACCCTTTCGAGCAGGGAATCTGTATTTGTTTCTATGTGCTTGATAAGTCGGTAAGTTTCATCGTTTCTCTATGGGACCTACATGCGTAGAATCGCGGATGATCATCACAGTCTACGCAGAACCATAGGTTAGATAGGTTCGTTCCTTCAAGCTCCCGAGTTGACGAGAAGAGACATCCTCTCTGATGTATACGCAAACGCCCACCCTTGGGACAAAGGAATGTTCCAATTTGTACACTGGGTAGGAGTGGTCGTAAGTATCAGCCGGAGAAGATATCTGATTCTCAGTAAAAAAGAGCTAGGCCGGATTCACAGTCTCCAAATGGTAGTGGCCAGCGTGGATGTTGGAATTAACTCTAACATTTGTGAAGTCCAAGGCAAGAATGGAAGAGGGCACCGTGGATAGTTTGCTCTGTCTTCCCCGAGATCGATTTACAACTGCATATTTTTTTGAGTTATTGAGAACGGAACGTCCCGGGGGATTCTCCACCACGAGCACGTGCATTACCCCCCTGGGGTAGTTTCTGTTTATTCGGCACTTTCATATTTCTTAGGGAGGTAGAGAAGAGATGGTCTCTGGGAAAATAACTCACCGTACGAAATGCGAGTACAATAAGGTGAAACTATTGCATTACTTCAGGCTGGATGGGGTCGTCACGCCCCGACGCCTAAAAATTTAAAATACCCCTCAAGTTGGCATCACTGCATGAAGTGTGTCGTTCCTATATTTTTGTTAAAGTTGAATGGCGATAAAACGATAAAGTCAATGTCAATAGATATTTGACAACTTTAGACATTGAAAAATGTGTTGATATTTCGCCCTCAACGCCTAAAAATTTCCCCTCGGCCACTCAACAGTGTGTCGTTCCTATATTTTTGTTAAAAAAGAAAGCCGAAAAAAAACCATCAATAATTTCAAAAAGTCTGACGCAATATTTATATATTAAAATCTTTTTGACCGTTTATATAATAATTGAAGTATTCCATTCTATTCTATTAAAAGATTAAACCCAAGTTTTATTACTAATAAAAAAGTTCGATAATTGAAATATGTCGCATAAGACCCTAATAGATTTCGTAGTGAAATATCAGTCTCCGCGATTGCTCAATAGTTTTGTCTTTTTTCCAAGCCATGGAAATTCGTTTCTGGGAAGAAGAATATCATTTCCAGTGCCGGTTTCATCTTCTACTCCACGAACTGAATCATCAAGACAGTTTAGTTCAAGTACTATTAAATTAAGTACAGTTCCTCTGACCGTTGAACCAAAGAAATTTGAAGGAAAATTTCAACTTATGTACACATGTAAGAAATGCAACACAAGAAATGCCAAATTTATTACAAAACTTGCATATTACAAAGGAGTTGTCATAGTTAATTGTGATGGTTGTGTAAACAGACACCTAATTGCAGATAATCTGAATTGGTTCACAGACATGAATGGAAAGAAAAATATTGAAGACATTATGGCAGAAAAGGGTGAAACAGTACAAAAAATTATGTCTGATGACTTAGAATTTATTGCTAAAGAAATTATTCAAAAAGAGAAACCTGATCTTATAGCATAATCATTAAATTCTGTTGTAGTAAAATTATTATATTATTTTAATTAAAATGTGATAATATCCTGGCATTTAAATTCTTACAATATTATAAAAAATAATGATCTTTAATCAAAGAAAGTATTAACAAGACATGTAAGATTGTTTTATGTATTTATTAAAGATTAAGTAATTTTTACTACATGTTAATATAAACATTTTATAAAATATGGCAAATCTTACAAAAAATTAAATTGTGCTTAAATTTTTAGCACCTATTGTGTGCTTATTGTATATATTGGCACAATATGGTAATTATAAAAATATACATTATTTGTAGGATCCTGAAGGCAGTTTCAGATTCTAATATCTTAAAATAAAATAATACTTCATAAAAACCTTAACTACAAAAATCTTTGTTAATTACAAATTAAATACAATAAGGCTTTTGCATATTATAAGTACACCTACAACAACAACATTGTAAGAGTTACATTAAGTCAGATTTGCACTTAAAAATATTTAACACTATAATAATTAAAAGGCACTTTAAAATCACAATTTCAAAAAGTAGATGTATGGATTATAGTTTTTAACTAATCTTTTACAATAAAGGAATGTTGAACAGTCTCATCTTTTACACATAATTATTAAACTTTTATATATGCATGATTTATTATTATTACATATATAATAATAGTAGCTTAGATTCCTTTCAAAGGTTTGAATATTTGTAATGGAATGGTAAAACTTACATTGTATTTTTATGTAATAATTATATTATAGTGTAAAACTGAAGTTAATATTACTTTAGCAGTAAAATTCATTGTTTCATTCAGTCTTCATAGTTTTAATCTCTTCTCCTTAAACTCTTTTAGGACGGCTGACAATAGCATAATCAGTACCATTACAATTACTATGTGTAATATCTTCCAAACCTATTTGGTTTTGAAGTATTTGAGCCTGTGCTGCAGTGGGTACTTGGGGACCAGGAGTGTTTGGTTTTCTAATCATGCCATAGCCCAAATGAGAATCATCTGCCATCCTTGCAGTCTGCATAACATTTTCCACTTCATCATAATCATTCCAAGTGTCTTTGCTCTTGGAATCATTAAGAGCCAATGTTGTAGGCCTTGCTTCAATTTTCTTGTATCTTGAGGATTTATTTAATTTGCTTGTTGATCCAAAATATTGTAATCTATCATAATTTTCATCCTCAGGATCAATGACAGGACTGGGCAATAAAATAATTCTTGATGTCTCTGGTCCTGAGGTATTCAAATTATCCTGAGATCTTGATATTAATTTCAAACAATTAGGACTATCTCCTAAATTAGGAGTAAATTCCGTGTGATCTGGATCATCTATACCTAATGTTTTCCAAGCTTCACTTCGCACTTCCACTTTATCATATGGCACTAATGGAGGACTCTCTTTCTTAATTTGTTCAATTGGTTCATAATTATCAAGTTTTTTATATCTACCAAAGTCTACGCTTTCATCGGTAGAACTTGTAGTATCTCTTATTTTTGGTATATTTACTATTTTTCTTGGTGGTTTTTGTGGTTTTGGTTTTAGTGCTGGTTTTGGCATTAAGAGGGGAGCTTGATCTCTATCAGTACTAATAGTTTGTTGACTTGATATTGATGGAGTTTTGAATGAAAGAGAACTTAAATTTAAATCATCTGGCCGAGCAGCCACCAATGGACTTCTAGAACCCGGAAATAGGTTAAGACTTGGTTGAATATTAAACTCTGAATGTTCTGGACTGTGCAAGTTATCGTTTCCTATCATTTGTTTCATAGTTTTCATTTTTAAAGATAAACATTTGAATATTTCTGACTGATTTGGATGCTCTAAATGGAAAATTCCTTCACCAGTATCACATTTTCTACCAGCTTCAAATGTAAACTTACCCTGTCTATATCCATAACGTCTTATATATCTATATGGCCAAGTAGCATATAACTTATTGTCATTTACATCTCTCAATTCTATAGCAGTTGCTGTAAGAAGAAGCAGGTACCTAATAGACTCAAAGCTACATCTCGTTGAAGCTTCTGAAGGACACATTTTAACAGAAAACACACCTTCCCCTGATGAACAGTAGAGGTCATTATCTTCATCACAACTGATAGGACTAGATGAAACTCCTCTAAAAGCAACGGATTGAAGTGCCGTTACCCATTCTAATGTTTCTGCTTCTGACTGAGCACATATTTGTTGAGTGAGAGACTTAGTCAAAATAGTTATAGTGTTTGGACTAGAATGTGTTATTTTGATGCAGTTTTCTAAGGTTATTATTTTCGGAATAGCACCTGTTGTCACGTCATCTTTGTTGTCATAAATTTCCAACCGTTCTATACCTTGTTTACTTGCATTTAACAAGACGCAGTATTTTTGTTGCCAGTTTTTCTAAAAAAAAAAATAAAAGGTAGTCATACTATGGCATTAATTCTGATAGAACAAACACGTAATAAATCTAAGCAGATTTATTTCTCTTTATGAAAAATCACTTTAATTATGTAGAAGTACATTACATATTAAATTTTACTAAATAAGATATATATAATATATCTATCCAGGTTAAACTACACATAAACTTGATAATTTTACAAAAGAGTGGTTGGGCAGGCTCAGCATTTATAAGTTTTGCTACTCACAACCTGCCTGCAACTCTGAGTCATTAGAAAGCATGTATCATAAAGGCGCGCTCCATATTATTTATGCAAAAATTATATTAAACATAGACAATAAATTATCACAATACCTTTTTAGGAAATTTACTAAACATATTTCCTCCGGCAAACGGAAACAATAAACATCCCGACTTTATCTCATCGTCCTGTTCCATAGTGAATAAATTTTCATCAAAATTTTGTTTTTCATAAAAGATAAAAAACTCTATATGGATACTAATTAAATATGAAGAAAACTATATTGATATATTAGTTGGACATACAAAAACGTAAATATTTAGATCTGCAGTGAAAAATACACAAAAACACCACAAAAAGAAATAAAAGGTATTCTCTAATCTCTAGTCTAAGACGTAAATTTGACTTTTCTACCTAGATGACAATTAACAATTGAATCCAATTATATAATCTGTGGACATATAACTAATAATAGGTTATAAATAATACACAACGTATATATTATAATAGCGTCATTTGAATGAAAAAATCTAGAAGAAATAATAATTTATTATAAATACAAAATACTTTGTTTCGATTTATATTACACGCTCAATCGATGATAAAATTTTAATTCAATTCATAAAAGTATGAAATTTTTCATCAATGTTTCCTTGGACTGGAATAAATATTTGGGAATATTTGATACCTTGGTAATGCTGTTTGTTATTAATTAATATTTAATAATATAATTTTTGCTTCTGCTTCTTTGCTCTGTGGTTTTCCCAGTTGGTGTGGTTAGTTGTAAAAAATGTTCAAATACTCTGAAATGTTCAAAGACTGAATTGTCAATTGTCATACAGCATACTATGTACTAATAATATATCTATTATCTTTAGAGTTTAGACTTTATCTATGAATATTACACCAAACATTTACAGAGTTAGATACCAGGCCATAAACTCCAAAAAAAAAAAAAAACATTTACAGAGTCATAGATGAGTTAAGAATATTAACAATAAATATTATTTTTCTACGAAGTTTAAAACATAAACATTTTCTTCTTTTAAATTAATATTAGTCTTAAGAAGTCGAAAGAGGGTTGTCGAGGATAAAAATGGCTAGTAATAATTTAAATCCTCTAGAAGGTACAGCTCATCTGCTAGACGAACTGGACAGTATGTTTCTTTTTTTGGTAATAACTGGTATAGTATACTTTGGATCATACATTAACTAATTGTTATTTTTCATTAAGAAAAACTGATGGTTTTGCTGCGAGATGGGAGGACATTAATTGGATATTTGCGATGTGTAGACCAATTTGCCAATTTAGTACTCCACAAAACTATTGAGAGAATTCATGTTGGAAAGGAATATGGAGATATACCTAGAGGAATTTTTATAGTGAGAGGTGAAAACGTAGTTTTATTGGGAGAAATAGTAAGTGGAGCAATATACGTATACTGTAATTCATATTGATAATCTTTAATTAAATTTGAACAGTCTTGTTTACAATATTTCAACAGTATTTATAAAATGGATGTTAAATTTCATACTTTATGTTACAGATTGGGTGTAAAAATATTGTATGGTAAACTTATGTTCACATTACAGGACAAGGATAAAGAGGAAAATCTACCATTAACGGAGGTGTCTGTTGATGATATATTAGATGCCCAAAGACGGGAACAAGATGCCAAAGTTGAGCAACAAAAAATTCTATCAAAGGCTTTAAAGGAACGAGGACTTAATTTATTAGCAGACTTAGGACATGATGACATGTTCTAAGAAAAAAAATCTGATTCTATTATCTTGTTATTGATTACTGTTTAAGCAAAAACTTTTCTATTATTATTGTTTTATATTTCTTTCAAACTTCCCTTGCTGTATAAATTAGAAAATAGGTCATTAAAATTTAAATTATGAATCAATTATACAAATGATAATGAAGATTTGTACTAATTTGATGCATAAAATTAATCATTGGTAATATTAGAGATAGTTTATAAATTAGTTTTAGGAACATATCATGTTTTAGTAATTTAATAATTACTATAATACATCAATTCATTGGGCGGTATGGTTAATGGTTATTGGTTTGTATTTTAGTTTTTTATTACACAGTGAAGTAAGTGCCACAGACTGGTGTGAAAATTCTTAAGTTATCTACATAAGTTTTATGTATAATTTATCCTTTTGGCAACACCGAACTCTTGCTTATATAAAAAAAAGTGACCGACCGTTGTAAAATTGACAGTTGTCATTTTTTTAAATAGCGTTTATGAAAATACTTCTGGTTTGCACTTTGCAGATTATTTTGTATTTAGTTTTTTAATGCATGATTATGACTGTAAAATCACTGTTAATAAGCTTTAGATAAAATCCAACAGTGTAACGTAGTGGACTTATACTAGTGTTATGATAATTAAAGACTACTGCTAATGTTAACATGTGATAATTTGTTGCAAAGTGTTTGATTCATTACCATAATATATTATTGATACCGTGATACATAAAATACATAATGAGTTGCCCCGATATTAAACTCATCGAAAGACTCAGACAAGAAAATTTAGAACAGTTTTTTACTTTAGTGCGGATGCATTTATCTTTTGTTGTGGATATAAACACAGATGAGTATGTTTACATTTTTATTAAGTATAATATTTATAGATTGAGTTATATAAATAGAAAAAAACCATATATATTTATATATACATAACATATTCTTAACTGCACGTAAAAATTCTCCAAAACGTTGGTAAAAGCTAAATGAATACCTAATTATTCTATGTAGTATTAAGTACACCCTGCTTACATAAAATCTTTTTCCTTAAAAAATTATACTATAATTATCACCTTTACAGTGTTGATTGTTCAACTGATAAACCAAAACAATTCCGATGGAATTTTCACAAAAAAACAAAAAATCCAGGAACAACACCTAATCACAATGCAAACAATATCAAAAATAATGTTGAAGCTAATTCTATCACTGAAGAAGGGATTTCCAGACTAAATGAACTTATTGCCTTCCTCTCAAAGCCTGAAAGTAAGTTGTTCATATTTTTGATTTGAAACAAAAGGTCTCTCTGTTTGATTGTAAACAAAATATATGTAAGTTATTTGTGCCTTCAGTGGCCGACTCCTGTCTCAATATTTTCATGGGATTTATGTGAATCTGTTATAACAGGTTTATTTAAAATAGTCTCTATACCTGAACTCGGTGATACATCCAAAGTCGCTATAGCCATATGAAATTTGTATAAAGTATGCTTGAAACACTTACATTTAATTTTGCTTTAGCTAAATGGTTGCCATGTTCTAGCAGGTTGTAATAAAAAAATCCACTGTGCTTCAATTCTACACAACAATCATATTTTTACATTTCAGATGTTACCCAAGAAGGAATATTTCGTAGAACAGGCTCATTGAGTCGTCAACAGGAATTGAGGCAGTTACTACATACAGGATCAAACTTGGGCCTTGATGATAGTAAATTCTCTGTTCATGACTGTGCTTCAGTACTAAAAGGATTTCTGGCAGATTTACCTCAACCACTACTTATGGATCAGTATTATCAAACATATTGTACATTGGCAGGTTAGTTTACAGAGTTTTTTTTCTTAAAATAAAGCTATATAGATATTTCAATTAACAAAAGGTGTAATATTGAAAAAAATAATACAGTTATATAACTCATATTATCTTTGGTTAATGTGACTATACTTAATTAAAACTTCTGGTTAAATTAAAACTGGTTTAAACATAAATTTATTACATGGTCAGACCATAAACAGCAGTAATAGTAAAAAAATTTGTTTGTTCATCCAGGGGTTATTAAGTCTTCACATGTACCTATAGGAATGCAAGTTGTACTTGTTATATAGAGGATTCATCCAGTGTTTTAAATTCCAGCACAATATCCACCAAATGCTGAATCATCAGAGGGTAAACTATTGACAGCTCTACAGCTTTTATTGTTACTGCTTACACCATCACATAGAAGTTTTCTTGAAAGACTGTTAAGGTTGTTGCGTCTTGTCGCTGATAATGAAGCAAGTAACAGAATGTCACCAGATACACTGGCCACAATGTTTACACCACACCTCTTATGTCCGAGAAAGGTAAAAATCGAGTTCATTTACTACCTTAGTACATTGATATTCTCAACCATCCTTAAAAAATGGCTCAAATATAATTAAATGCTGGCCTGCTTCAATTATAATTTAGAATTTCTTGTTACACTTAGGATTAGACATTTATGTTCATTATCATTGTGTCCATGCGCGGGGGCGGCGAGCATGTTGCCAGTTTGCCTCGTTCGCCTCGTTCTTTAAAAAAAATAGTACAACGGAATGTTAAAACTAAATTCTTACCACCCGAAATAATATTGAATAATAAAATAATGTAAACATAAAATTTCTGACTAAGAAATATATTTAAATATAATTATTTTGCCTTATCCTAATCCTTACAAATTAACCACTAAGCAGAAAGTGACACTTAAGTAATTTCAAGTAACTCACAGTTAAGTAAATTCCGTTGCTTGGGCCTTAACACTCGAAAATTGATGATGAATGTAAAACAAAAGACGAACGAAAGGATTATGTTCGATTGTAATTGGTCAACCGCATCGCTAGTCCAACACGTTGTCACGCGATATGATGCGTATTACGTCCGTCTGACGAATCACAAACGAACGCCATGTTTCGTCTTGCGTCCCCCTAGTCCGGTTTTATATATAGATACATATTTGAAATTTATTTCAGCTGTCACCAGAAAACTTTCATGCAGATTCAATAGCTATGTCGCCGGTCATAAGCTACATGATACGACACTCGTGTAGGCTTTTTGAAGCGCCCGCGCAGCTCGCTACTGATTCAGCGGCGTACTTTGCTCTACGAGAAAGAAAACGGATCATGTCGCCTGATGTAGATTTGGATGAAAGCATTACTGATAGGTATGGTACATTTGAATTTCCCTCCTTTTTCATCTTTTAAATCATTTCAGTAGTTAAATATATACCAATACCTTCCTATCATACGCTTCCCTTTATTTTGGTCCATTACTCTTTCTTATTTATATAAATCTTCTAATTGGATTAAACAGTCACCTTACTTTATATCAATATATGTGTTTATTTTACTTTGCAGTTCAATCAAAATATCTTCCAACCCAAGACCTTATCTCTCTTCACTTGTTTCAATATAATTTACTCACTTCACCTCAACTCTACATTATATTTAAATCTAAAAATAAAAAGTTTTACCTCATATCCATTAAAAATAAATACACGTCATAGAAGAAAAAAGTACAGAAAAATATCTCGGGCTTAGATGATAGCGGTTTAGTGGAATACACAAATTGAGAACACCAGATCTAAGCTCTGTTCACTTATGGGATCACTTCGACACATTGCTCGGTGTATCCCCTCAGTACGTTACACCATCTACAACTCGTTGGTCAAGCCACATCTACTTTATTTAATTGAAGTATGGGGCCCCCTAAACTAAATTAATAAATATTCAAGTATTACAAAATAAAATTATAAAAATACTGTTCCACTATAATTATCTTCACCTACCATAAATATATTCGAGACACAAACATAATAATCTAAAACAACTTTATATTTATCACACATGTATTCTTGTAAAAAAATTTATAACAAGTTCTCTCCATACTAGTTTAGCATTCTCCAAACCCCACGTGTACGAAGTATCGTCAACGAGTTATCTTGCATTACCTAAAGTACGTACAACTACGGCAAAAAAATGTTTACCTACGAAGCGCCAGCTGTATAATAAACTCCCACAGATATAAAAAATATTACTTCTATCAATTCATTCAAATCGAAGCTAAGTGAATATGTTAAACAAAATTACTTTTAAATTCATTTCTTATTACTTACTTATTACTTACTTTTAATTCATATTTCTTTGTTTACTTTTTATTTTTTAAATTTATTGCATATACGGCTATATTTTATTGTGATTATTTTAAGAACGACTACAATGTTATGTTATCTAGAGTATTATTCTCATGTAAGTGACATTTGTTGTCTTTTTTGAGAAATAAAGTCTTTAAACCTAAATGGCAAATATTATTTGCAAGACTCGATATTTTAAGTACTATTTCAGACGTGGACATACTAAACTTGTTATGTGTAATACTCGCAATTTAAGTAAGGTTACATTTTTGACTGACTTAAAAAAGACGAACGAAGAGGTCTGTGTAATTTTCTATTTCTGATTTTTTTTTGTGCATCCTGAATAAATTATGTATGTAAAATATTGGTTATAAACTGTTTCATGCTTAAAACATGATGACAAAAACTAGTGTCTATGCACCACTGAAATAAATTCAATTATATAACTAAAAATAATATAAATTTGACACCTTGGCCTAATGGCTTCACCGTGTGACTGCAGTGCCGGATTAGCCATATAGCAAGAGTAGCAAATTCTACGGGCCCCGCGAACTTAGGGGCCCCGCGCTCCAACGCCCGTCTGACCGTAATAAAAAAAGTATTAATTTAGATAGTAGCGTCTAATATCTTGCGTACCTTTAACGCGAAGCGCTTAGTCTATGCTTCACTTCCACATAAAAATAAACTTGACTTTGTCAAGTATAATCGTAAAAATAAGTACGTATTTATCTTTTTAACGTTAATTTTCAAATTTTAATTATAATCGATATACATATTTAGACTAGCATGTTATTTGTACCCTTCAGATATTTATTTTTATGTAGGTATACATTTATTTTGCGAGTTTACGTAGCCGAGGTTGTACTTTTCTAATCGATTTTAATATAATATCGATTATAAGTATTTCGAGGAAACAGGCGAACTATTTAAATCCTAAAGCCTAACCAAGGGCCCCTAGGCAGAATTTGCTACAGGCCCCGCGCTTTCTTTATCCGGTACTGTGTGACTGTCAACCTGAGGCTGTGTGTTCGATTTATACCTGTGCACCAACATACTTTTCTCTCTCGCATTTAACACTCGATCGTTCGTGTATGAAAAGATAATGATAGAAGCGGCATTGGACCCAAAAAATCTTATTCATTATGTAGAAAAGAAAATTATTTTTTTAGGACAGCAGCAAGCACGGTGTACACATTTGTGGACCGTCACCGCACACAAGTCGAGAACGAGACGAACCCAACCGATACTGCGCTTGCGCAGCTTTACGCCCATATCCAGGCGTTGCCCGACTCACAGCATAAACGACGGCTTGTCAAACACTTCAATAGACAGAATGGATATGGTATGAATTTATTTTAAATATTTATGAATTGGATTTCAATGTCTAGTTTGCTTTCGAATTGGAAATTTCGATATACAACTTTATCGAATTCAATTAAAAAAAATATTACATAGCACAAAAGCTCCGTATTCATAAAAAATAAATAATTTTAATTGTTTTAATTAAAGTACTCTGTCTCCTTTTATCACAGCGTAATCACAATATCATAAAAGGAGATGAAAGAGTAGGTGCTTTAAGGGGGCAATAACATTGATTTTTCATGTTAATTTTTGCCATATATTAAAATTTCTTAATTTAATTAACATTTGCTTGTACGGCAAAAGAAAATATCGTGAGGAAATCAGAGGAAATAGAAATCTAAGGCCAAAAACCAAGGATTTTGTAGCTCCCCTTTTTGTTAAAACGATACAAAATTGCATTGCAATGAATTTAAGGTACCCCAATACAAATACAAAGAACGGGAAAGGTTGCCGGGTCGAGAAGTTTCGGCGATTCAATAAAACGCCACATATTTAATAAGGGTATTTTAAACAAAACACCAAAGAAAGGATCGACTTCCATGATCCATGCTATAGAAGAGGTATGTAAGCTTAGCATCTGCTTTTTGATAATCATTAATGTATACAAACATAGACTTATGTAAAGTTCCTTTAAATAAAATTTATGTAAATCAAAGACAATATACCCGACATTTCATAAGATATTATGTATATTACCTATAAAATACTTGACTCTAATGAAATAGTCGTCTTAACCTCTTAAACTTATAACTTACTTAATCATTATATATTTTTAGCAGAAACTGATTAACCTACAGAGAAACTAAAATTTTGACAAACTTTATGTTAATAGCACCTGTATTTTAATCCAAAAGATCTTAAATAACTCTCTTCATTGTAGCTTATTTTTAAACAAATCAAACATATTATCTTATTTTGCTAAAGCTACACATAAATTATTTAAAAAAATCTGTAAACTATGCCGGTGTGCATGTTTTTAAGGGATTCTTTAACATTACTCCATTTAATAAAGTTAAAGAGCATTAAAAATAATTATTTTTTATAATAAATGACAATAAATTTATACAACTAAATCCGTATCCATTTTATATTATTCCTAACCTCTTTCTAAATCATATTTTTAATTCAATAAAAGTGCAGAAAGTTTTAGAATAGTTTAAAAGAAATTTTAATCAATGTCTATGTTTGTATACCTACAGCATATCTAACCTCTGATTCATGATTTTTTTTCTGTCATTCTTCTAATTTTCCACCACGTGCTAAACGCATGCCTTATTTACAGAAGTGCAAAGGAAAATTGAAATTCTCTGACGATAGCAAAGATGTATCTCACAAAAATATCGTTCTTAAGAATTTAGCCAACAAAATGGCGAGTTCCGAATCTTTAGATGACGATTACGAGTCGGATGTTAGCAACGAAAGCACATTATCCGACGGCGCTTTAAATAAATCTAGGAAAATGAGTCCGAAATTCGTTTCAGAGCCTAACTTAAGCGCGTTAGACTCGAACGATGAAACTCCCAAAAACACAAAGAAACGATCGAGACTGTTCAGATCCAAAGTTGTCTCGCAGCAAAACAAAAAGTATCAAAAACGTTCCAATATACGCAGTACTCCGACATCCTGTGTGTCATGCGTTGAGGACCAAGATACAGATAGCGAAGTTTGTACGCCAGAAACTACGCCGAAGAAAAATAGACACTATAGCAATGATATAGAATTGAAAATTAATTATTTGACATCTACACCGGGGGTGTCTGAGGTTTTTGATGAGGAATGTTCGACGCCATATTCGATTAACTTTAGACGCGCCTCAATGTCGCCTATAACACAATCCACACAGAAGTTATCTAAAGCGATGCAGGTTTGTGCTTTGCATGTTTTGAGCATGAGTGTGTTAAATCATCTCTATGTTAACGATTCTCATTTCTAACGTGAATTTTCTGTTATAAATAAGTTTATAATTAATACAATTTCTATACAAAAAACGTGTGGCACTCGGGGGCTGCCGCGGTAAAGCTATTGCATAGCATTATCAACTTTATCAACTTATGCAATTATAATTATTTTTTTATTTATGCAGTATTCTTTTTCTTTAATATTAATACAAGTTTTTTCTTTGATATTAATTCAATCTACCACTCTACCAGACTCAGACTAACACGCCTATTTAGTCTCTCTCACCCGCCAGATAACGCGTACTGGCTGCACCGGCCGCCCTTCTACGTCACCGATCTCGTCAGAGAGATTTCAATACGCAGTATGCGTTCTGTCCCACTCTAACTTGTATTGGCCGCACCTATATTACGTCATCGTGTGTTAGGTTGTTTTTCGTTACGGAATTTTTTGATTCGGTCGCCGCACTCAAAGCCCGCGATAAAAGCTATGCAATAGCTTAAAAATCTGCTCGCGTCTGTAAGGGTATACAATTATTACGACATATCTCCTATATCCTAGAATTTTAGGGTTCGACTCGCGGCGAAACTTTACCCACGGAAGCAAAAGTATAAAATACTAACGTCCGGATTTATCAATAGTAAATCCGTCTTAGAAAAAAAACTGTTTCATTAGAGACTTAGGGTCCTTCTAGATAAAACCGTACTAATTCTTAAAAGGCCGGCAACGCACTCGCGAGCCCTCTGGCATTGCGAGTGTCTATGTCCGGTAGTAATACTTAACATCAGGTAAACCCGTTTGCCCTCTGTTCTATATTAAACTACCGACCACAGTATTAAGTATAATAAAAAATTAAAACAAATTTATAACAAAAGGACTTCTCTTTTTATCAGCGTAAATACATTTGATAGAAAGAGACGACTAGTTGTATCCGTGTATAATTGATGCTTACAAATTGTTTTACAGGAATCAATAATGACGCCACGTTCCCGCAAACCTTTAATAATAACAACGTCGGAACAGCGAGACATCCCCGAGACGCAAGACATTTACCAGTCTTTGTCTCCGAAGAACGATAGTGATTTCGTCTCTTCTGAGGACGAGATGATTCGGTCTAGTTATTCTTGTGAAAGGTATTTATTAGCTAGAAATTGTATGGGTGATTTGAGATATATTTTTAGTTTCTTATATTTATTGTTGACTTAAAATTTTTGGTGTGACTTGTTCACCTACAGAGGGAATAGCGAAATAGACAAGGGGGTGAAACGTTCTAAAGGAATTTGTAATCGAGGTTGCTGTTTTGACTATAATAATTTAATTTTACCCATTTACAAATAAAAAAAAGCGTTTTTAAAATGATTAATCACCTGGCATGCTCGCGCTGCGCTTGCCGTGACTATATCACCATTCCACCATTATACCCATCATGGAGTCTTAACCGACAAAGCATTACTTGAAAATGCATTAAAATAAAATAATAAAGGCATTATATGAATCAAGTTAAAAAAATTTTACTTGTGATGTGTTTGTTGCTAATTATTAAAATAAATGTAGTAAAAACAAAACACTACTTAATTAAGAAATGCTTGAATTTAAAAATAGTGTATGTTAATTATTTAAATGTACAGACAAATAAATACAAAATACATTTCAAATAGTATGTACGGCATTGTCATAATAACCAGAATTCTTTTGAAAATATAATAAAATTATATCAAAAAACTGCTAATATATATATAAAAGTATATATTTTTGATTATCAATGATTTTTTTGATTGCAGGTCAAATTCAGCAAGTGCATCGCTACCTCTTAAGCAATTCGATTCTCGATCGAATTGTTCAGACTACAGTCTATGCGCACCAAGACTATTCACGAACGAGAGAAATAACGATTTAAATACAACACTAATCGATGATATACCAAAGAAATCCGAAGACCAAAAATCGTTAACCGGCCCATTTCGGGAGTATTTATTAAGTAGATCGGTGCTGACTGCTACGCCGATCGATCTATCGATTCTAAATAAATCGAATGACGACGACAGATTGACTGATTCTTTATTATATTGTTTGGATGGTAATGTACCGTCAGATTTAACTTCATCCATTGGTAATTTGGCAGTCGATATATCGAATAGGTCACCGTTAAAACATTTGAATTGCGAGTTAAGTCCAAATAGGAAGAGATGTGGGAGTACGATAGATAGTATGGAGAATAAGAAAGTGATGATTGAGAAGGAAAATTTAAATAACTTTGAATTACGGGAAACTGATTTGTGAGAACGCAGTTTCGATTCCTAGCAAAACTGTTTTCGCGTACTTTGAAAATGATAAATGAAAAATTTGTTCCTGTGCCTATATCCTATGGTTATAGGAAGTTAAATATTTGTTTTTAATTTTGTTTGCTCTCTGTTTTTAATTAAGACGTCGCAGAGCGAATTTGCGTAAACTTACCTCCGTATAAGGTGCCTTAAGATAATTATTTTTAATTTGTCCGTTTACTTATTGTAAATAGCGTGTACGTATCGTATAGTTTATATATTTGATAAAACTTGTATTAAATATACCAAATAATACAATATACTGTATTTTTATTTACTTTATATGAGACACATAACACAGCATGCGATGATAATTATACAAGTGAGGTAACAATAGAATTGGCAGCAAACTCGGTAGAAACAGTTGACGAATTTGTTTGTAAACGATTCTCGATGATTGCTGAAAAAGAAGAGCACGGAAAAATTGTGTCAAATATTGATGAACAGCTTGAATGAAAAAAAAAAGGGTGCGTGTACTTATGTACGCGCGTAAGAAGTTATACTTCTTTGGCATTATTAAAAATAGTTTTTGATGGCATGGAAATAATTAATTACAATTAAATAATCAAAGTCTGGAAAAGGAGTCGTTATAGTCAATAAAGTTCAGTTTACATTTGAAAAATTAAATAAATAAATATTTATTATTATTCTCTTACATTAAGTGTAACATAAATTCTATTATTATTCGAATGTTGTTTTTAAATTATGTCCAATGCCGTAGCATCTTCCGTGGGCAACTTCATCATGATAATTTTGTGTCACGGTGCGCGCGCATCGTAAAATTTCACTCTCATCAATGTTTCATAACGCGCCTAAAGAAGTATAACTTCAAAAATACAAAATTTATAGAGCTAAGGAAAATGTTTTTGCTTTATGAAAGAAGTGTTGGCCTAGTGACTTGAGCGTGCGTCAACTCAACAAATCTCAACTATCGTGCGTTCGATTCACGGCTGTGCACAAATGGATTTTTCATTGCATGTGCGCATCTTACGCTCGCCAGTACGGACAAGGAAAATATCGTGAGGAAACCGGCATGCCTTAGACCGAAAAAGCTTCGTATGTGTCAGTCAGACACTGAAAACTCACCGCCTACGAAAAGGGATAGTTACTTAAATACAGGCAATAATTTGCTGTTTCGTAACGAGGTTTTAAAACTTTTTTTCAATATAGAGCAAAGAAAAATACTTACTATTTCTTAACGTAAACGGACTTTGATTTTTTAGCTGGTTGCACTTGAGCGGGTTTTTCACTTATACACAAACCCCTGCATTCTCTTGCAACAATGACAGGTGCTTTATATTTCTTCTCAACTTTCGGAATAGGTTCATATTTGCGAGGAAGTTCATAGATTGGTTGGTCGTAGTAGAGTTTAGGTTGTTTCTCTACAATCGGACTTGTCATGTATTTGACTGTGGCATCTGTATTTAGCTGGTTATATTTGACTGGTTCAGGCGGCTTGTGCTTGACTTTAGTTGAAGGTGAATTAGGTCTTTCAATTTTGTGTTGCGATTTTTTCCGTTTAAATCTAGCCCAGTTTATTGAATCTTTGTGCGTCGGTTCTAATTTTATTGGTTTTGGTTGTGTTTTTTCACTTTTAGGTGATTTAAAAGCGTTATGGAAGAAGGGTTTATGTTTCGGTTGTTCGATCGGCGATATTTTCGGCTTAAGACTTTCCCAGCGAATGAAATCTTTCAGGCGTTCTCGCTCAAATTTTTCCTGTTTCCTCTTGGCAACAGCTTTTACCTCTTTTTTATGTTCTTTTATTAGTTGGTTGAGCGCCCGTTTTCGTCTAAACCATCGACATATTGGTGTTCTGAATCTTCTCAATGGCGGTTGAGGGGCTGCGGCATGTTTACTTCGAAAGCAGTTTGCTTTTAGAAAATTTACCGCCGTAGGTTTCTTTATAGATGAAGTACGAGTTTTTGGTTTTATGAGTGATATTTTGATTGGCACTGGGAGATTTTGTGACTTCTCTACGATAATTTTGGGCCTGAAATATGTACTTTATAATTACAATGAGGTCCTTTTTAACTACCAATGCATTACATAATCGATATTTATATATGTATTTCGGAGTAGCAGCTTTGATTATATTCAGAATTTATAATCTTAACCCCGTATTCATAAACGTCCTACTTTTTCGTATCTCTAACATATAAACCTGACCAAACGTTTTTAAGATCGTAACCATCTGTAATATAAAATAAATACATTTTTTTGTTTAGGATTTGCTTACCCTGTATATATTCTAGTTACTTTTTCTTTTGCACGAATAGACGAGGGCATGGTCTGCCCATGTCATGCAAGAGTTTCATTAAATTTCGGTCATATTTGTAATTTATTTACATTTTTAATATTCAACTGTCTCATATGTAGGCTGGCTTGTCTTCGTTGACTTTGAATTGTCATTCAATTTATTTGAATGACAATGTGAATTAAGATAAGGCATATTTAATTCGAGCAGACAAAAAATAACCACAGAAGGAGACTGAAACTTTTTGTTACGCATTACGGGGCACTTTGTTTTTTTAGTGTATTGTAATACAAGTTCTCCCTTATTTATATTAGGGAATCACTTAATCAATCACTTTTCACGTCAAATATATAGCATAATAATGATATAGCGTTATTTTATTCCATAAAAATACAAACACAAGTCATTAACAGTAAGTAATAAAATAAAATGTTGTAAAACCCCTCACGGGTAAAGCCAAGGTATTCCACAATTTTCTATTTATTGCTACCTTTCCCTCGCCGTCATCACAATTTTGATTGTCCATCTGTCACAAGGCTGGCTTCTCCATCTTGTGCCTCGTGGCCGCAGCCATTTCACCAGTATTTGTGTCCACCTGTCGTCGTCGTACCTGACCACGTGTCAATTCAATATCCATTTTCTTTGAAGGGAGAAAATTAATGCATCAGTGATCTTTGTTCTTTTCGGATATCTGTATTTTGTCCTTTTGCTTGATGCCAAGGTAACTTCTCTCCATTCTTCTTTGTGTTTTTTATATCAAACGCCCAAGTCTGGAAACCGTAGCAGTTAAAACTGGTAAAAAATTAAAGTATAGTCTAGTTTATTTCCGATGTTAGGTTACCGATACCGAAATTTTCCAAAGAACCCATATATCCGCCAAGCATAAAGCCCAGAAGTTATAAGCTAACATTTTCACAAAAACTATTTTAACTTGAATTGTAATGGATTTACTTCAGCTTATAAAACCATCACAATCATCATTATTATTCTTTAATAAACCATGATTCCAACTGTTATCTTATCTCATAACGGAACTAAGAACATGATGGAGCATTAGCAAGTATTAATTTACTTTATGTTTTATAAAATATATGGTTTACTGTATGCTACTTAACTGGCCCATAATTTTATTAAATATACATATCGTTATTTTGGTTAAGACGCCAAAATGAGTGTGTATTTCGTACAAATAAAAAGGAACATTATCAAATCAATTTTGTCGTAATTAGAACGATTATCATAGAAATGTTGTGTTAATGTTGGATTCGAAAACATTACCCATTAAAATAGTTTTTTATGTTAGCCAATAGTAACACGCAAACATAGTAAAACAAATATATTTTATTATTAATCACTTTTTTCTTTAAAATCTTAAAGTCAAACCTGATATGCTAAGTTTAATGCATGCGACTGTCACGTTTGCAACCCTTATGAAACGCGTTTCATTATTTAAACTTTACATCAATTTATTATGAAAATTTAAATCATAAAACCATATGTCAACTCGTGACTACCTTTCTTTAGAGGCTCAAAACGTCGGGACAATTTTATCTTTCCACTAGTTATTTTAAAACCGATTTTTTTTTCAAACTTTGTATTCGTATATTACGCAGAATAAAAGTACTCTATTACTATATACCCTGCGTTGTAAGACAAGTGGGATATCTGTTAATTGTGTAATATTGATAATTTATGATAAACTTGGTATTAAAAGCGGCAGCACTAATATGAAATACGCCACGAACTGAGATGTCGCAGTTACCAGTGTAATATTGGTTTAGCATGTGTTTCCTTGTTGCATGACTTTTTATTTATTTAAACGATTTTTATTGCGACAATGACTTTTACTAAAATTACTAGTCTGTGCTTAAAAGTGAGTACATTAAAGAAATGTATTACGAGGAGACCTTTGTGCCTGCAACGGGACTTTAGTGTTAAAAGCCGTCATTTAAGTGTAAGTATTTTTTTTTAGTGTAAATAATTATTTAGATGTTTATTAGTGATAAATATTACAATATCTACGAGTAGTTGCGACTGAATCCCTAGCGTTTACATTCAATTAAGTAAGATAAATATTTCTTCTAAAATTTAAAACAATTTATTAATCTGGAAATTTATAACACGTCACATTTTTAAAAGGTATTTAATATTTATGTCTACATATATATGTATATATATGTTAATATACTATTTCATTTAAAAATATATTCGAAGTCAAAATGTAAAAAGGGTCACCTCAATGTCATATTAAACCTTTTATTATCTTCATTATAATATGATGTTTGAGACTTGAAGATTGAATGAATATTATTAACGAAGAGTTTAATATGTATATGAATAGACCTAATTAAAGCCAGACCTAAGTCTAAACCTAATAAAACAGAATTTACATAAACTTAATTATCTATGACTGAGATTAACACGTTGTAATAAATTTTCGTTTAAGCTTTTATAGAATAATTCTTTCAAATTAAATCATTTTAATTTTCCATTTAATTCATTTTTCTTAAATATATTTTATTTCTTGTCATTCTTGGAATTTACATTTTAATAAAATATTATTTTTTATTTAGATTTTAAGTTCTTTGAAGGATATTTTTATTAAATAGGTATAAATTCACAAGACATTAAATCATGATTATTTCTATTTAAAAGTTGATGAATGCTATGAACAAGGTATATTAATTATAGGAACGTATTTATCTTAGTTGAGCGAGCATTATTATCTCTAGACCTCCTATTCTACACAGTTCTTCCCGGGTTCAAACTCTCAAGGCAAAACATTAAATAATTATCAATAAGTAAGATCAAGTCGTTAAGGTTATACAGTTCGTTTAATAAAACTGGTATATTTGTTTGGGAATAATATTGTCGCGGGTTAAATAAATAGTATAATTTTTATTTAAAAAAAAATTACATCTTGCTTAGGCATGGGATGATGAATATGATTTTCAATTGTTTTCAATTGCTATTTAGTACTAACATCTGAAATCCTAATGGTGAGGTTTAAAACAATTAACGATCGGAATAAAGAATACTTCGGAATGACTGGGTTCTCGAAATTAATTAAATTGTTAGGGATGCTTATGGCTTCACATTGACGCCGTTTGATATCAAAACGTTCCGTAGACTAGATAGAAATCTTAAACTAAAGATGAACTGTGATGATACTGAAATATGTATATATTGTATATTATAGAGATATTTATGACAATTCAATTGCAAATGATAAATTATTTGCGGTTGTTGTTGTTGTGAAAAGTTCATCACTGTGAAACGAACAACCACAGCTATAAGTGCTTTAAAGTTAAAGAAATCGGTTTTGTTAAAATAACAATTGCGGGTAGAACGCAATTTATTATCAGCTAAACAGACTGCAGACATGACATTACAGAGCTGACCATGGCCAAAGTAACACTGCACTGAAAAACATTGACAAAACGATACGAATGCATAGCTAACGCATAATATGCACGTTTGTTTGCTATGTATTTATCACCAGAAAGTCCGTATTTATCGACACAAGCTCATAAGTTAATGATTTCGTTTTGTTGGTTTATATTATGTACACTCACATTTAAGTTTGTCGTATCAACGCTGATAAATGTTCTCATTTCGTTTATCATTGTATGGATTCATACGCGGCAGCTGCTCGTGACAGTTGGTTACGTTTTGAAATAGGTCAAAAAGGTGTATTTTATTAAAAAATGTAATTTCGTGAAATAAGGAAAAGAGGTTCTTGTGTTTTTTTTTATAAACGGCTCGTTATTTCTTTTTTTTTATTGCTGGCCAGTTTGTACATCATGTTACTTGCAAAGACTTGGTTTGTCTTTGGAAGGAGGTCTTATTCCGTTATTGGAATCGATTCATTATCAGCTAGAAAAATAAACACAGGCCAAGAGGTGAGTTTAAACTAAACTCGTGTTTTTAATAAGTACTTTATTATTAATTGCTTTATCAATTGAACTTGAAGATAATGTTTGTGTTACTTAATCTTAAGGGTAATTATATAAAGCTTTTTACAAGCATATCCTGTATTTTAATATGTTCGAAAGCCATGGTTACCTATTTTAATTGGCTTACTTTTGATGCTTCGGATTATTTTAAATGTTAAAATTGAACATTTATTAAACATTTTACGTTATCTCTTCGTTTGTCTTTTTATACATTACAATACACCAAAATTTGTTTTATGCTTTGAACAAAGATGTAGGTGTATATAAGGTATAAAAACATACAGTTACGTATACTATTTAAATTACAATAAATAGCAAGATATTTACTTATAAAATAATAAGAACAAATAATATTATCTTTTTCTGCACACATGACTTAGTAGATTAATGTCAGCAAATAAGATAGGTACTTATGTATAAACTAGGTGTAAGGCTACAGGGCTTCCAATCGTGATTGCGATTTCCATATTAAGTTTTCGTACACAGTTCCGAGTATGCAAAATCAGTATATGGATATTGAAAGATCGCATAAAGAATGTTTTCTAACCAGCCAGTCAGCCATTCGTTAAAATATAATATTAAACCTATCAATGATGTTGGCATTGGTTTACAGCAATCTCTATTTTAAAGTCTCATCTAATAAAATAATATATGTTATCATACATACTGATATACCTAATTACATTATTTCCGCATACAGTATATAATTGTAAGTTTTATAACCTAATCATTGTGATTAGTTACCTTCAATGATGTAAATGCTAGTCATTTGATTGCAATGCAAATAGAAAAAACTGTTTGAGGTTGAATGACAAAGTAAATAGCAATATATGTATAAATTCTACTGTATTGTTATAAATTTTCTTCTTATCTTTGAAATTTCTTTTATTTAACGTTACTTCAGTCAAAACAATTAGACATTATTCTAAACGGTAGCTATACTTATTAAAACGTATTTGCGACCATGTTTAAAATAAAGAACAAGAATACAATTTTAAACTGGCGCGTAATTAAATGAAAAATAAAAATTCAGATATTCAATTGTCAACTGTCAATTGAAAGTTTGCTGCGTTGGCGGCATTTATATTGGCGCCAATTTAGTATTCATAATAACCACTTTTGCACATATTTATTAGACCTTGAATTAATAACGTGCATTTCCGTACACATATTATATAGCTACACTACGTATTAGAATATATTGTGGTTGAGACAAGTTCATATCAATTACCGCACGTGTTACATGCGTGAGTACGTTTATTGTATTGCAAATAAAGATTGCTTATTTATTTTATATAACTATACTTACTAACAAGCTTGTCATTGTCTTCGTAGGTATTTAATATATCTGTTTTATCCTTTATACTTAACATGCTTTCTACCCTTTTCTACAACGTTTTTTTATAAACTCACTCGTGTCAAAACTTAGAGGATAGACAGTTGACACTTGACGGGAAGGCAATTCTAAACAGGGTGGTGAATATTTAAAGACCTTAAAATGTAACAATGGTTAAATCTTTTGAGCCTAGCTCAATTGTTATGCCAGCTCCTGGAATTTAGTCCAACGCGGAAATTAATTTTTTGGTGGTTGGTAGCAGGAGATTGATTATTCGGCGACATCCAATGTAATCTTATAGAATCGCATTAGTGTACTTCAAACTAAGACTCTTAAAAAGAAACCTTATCAATATATACATTTTTAGTGCATTTTGAAGTCTGTTCTAGTTTCGAATGTGAAACAAAGTCTGCGCCATGGGAGACTGGTACATATAGCGATCAAAAATATTAAAAAATAAAATAGCATTTATGTCTAAACCTGTCCTTCAATCTTTTATTGTTTTGATATAAAGGACCCTTTGAAACTTCCGAGTTTTTATATCCAAGCGTCAGCAACTTTGCAAATTGATGACCAGCTTTAACTTTGATCCGTTTTACAATATAAATCTTCTTAACATCCTTCTCTACTTAAAACTTAAGCTTTAATTAATTATGATTGAAAAATTCAATTCTTTACCAAATCCAAACTTTGATAGGCAAATCTTTTTGATACAGGGAAATGAAAGTGCCTGCTATTATTTTTTTCTATTGGTAGTATTTTATTCTATTTATATTTTTAAGGTAAGCCAGCCTTATGTGCGAACCAAACACGTCGGGAATTAAACCCAGGACCTCAGGCACATACGCCATGTACGTTTACCATTGAATAACTTGAAAACTTGGCATAAATATTATCTATGCTATTCTCAGAGTCAAATCAAACTGAAGTTATAAAAATATATAATCTAATATATGCATATTGTTATGTAGTGTTAATTTTAGACCCTACAAATCAGGTATTTTTATCACAAAATAATACTGATAGAGTCACTACTATTTTATTTTAGTACGTAATATAAATTCTTCGAGGATTTCTGAGAAATCGGCGTGAATTTATAAGTGCACCTTAGTATTTCTAATAATGTTTTTATTTCAGTACATACATTCTTTTCGAAAAAAATATATTTTGTTCAGAATGAATTTAATTTTTATTCAGATCGAGATACGAAATTCAGTTGCACTTTTTTCTTTGTCCTTTAATGAGCAATTTTATAGTTTCGCCTTTAGTTTAAAAAGTTGTTTAATAAAAACAGTTACAATGTATAATTAAACAACTTTCAAATTTTCCACGTAGAAAATTCTACGAACCGGTTATAACTAACATAAAGAGGAGCAAAACTGCTTATAAAAATATTACTATAATTCTGTTGAAATTAAATTGTATAATTAAGTATATACTAAATGTTGATTGTTGATACCGAAGCACGTGTTTCAATAGGGTTATTGTGAGCACGCGTTACCAATAAAGCGTCGAGACCGATCTTTATAGGCTCGTAAAAGAAAAGGGACGTTTTTACAACACCCAATACTTACAAAAATCCTATATAAAGTAGCAGACCTTCATAATTTTTACTATAATAAGCTTTCGAACAACGGTCTGGAGTACCGTATGATTACAGTTGTCGAAAGATGGTGTTGGACAATTGTAAAGATTCGGATTTAAGACTTTCGGATCGTTGGAGTTTCGAGATTGAATACGATGTTTTAGACTATACTTATTTGTACTTAGCTCAAGCTTGACACTTGAAAAGCCTTGAAGTGCTCAGATGCTTTCTTTATCTTGTTACACAATACAAAGTTCGAGAAACTTTGAGAATTGTTTCCGTACGTGACTTGATATTTAGTTATTTAATTTATTAATTTTATCATCTTCAAGGCTACTTCATGATTTTGATACCTTTATTTTATGTAGTTAATTTAATTCAGAATTCCTTTATTTCTGTTATAGAGTTCAAATGTCGACAAACGTGCATTGGGTAGTACGGAGCGAAAACAACGAACATTTTCAGATAGAACGCAACTGAAATTTGCGAGGCGTTTAGTGGTCAAGTTGGGAAGTGCAGTTATCACGAGAGAGGATGGAAATGGACTAGCTTTAGGACGATTGGCTTCTATTATTGAACAGGTAAATGTACATGTGACCTATATTTCTTTGATAGTATTCACAGTTGAGATAAAACTACATATGTGATTTTCAATTGACTAACTATCCTTGAATGAAATACATGACAAAACTTCTATTTGTTTTATTTTAAAGAATTATCAGATTTTTTTTAATAAGACTATGTATTAATGCATTTAATGGAGCTAGAAAAAAATATTCCTGTAATTTGATACTCAATCAACTCAATACTAAATCACATGATGAGGCAATTCAAACTACTAGTTTAGTTATGTTCCACTGCAGTACAATGGTCAATGTATTACAAGTTGTTAAAATCACCATAAGGTGTATAATGAGATCCATTATCTAAATTGTAGGTAGCAGAATGCCATCACGAAGGTCGAGAGTGCATTATGGTGACAAGTGGTGCCGTGGCCTTTGGAAGACAAAAATTAACACAAGAACTTCTTATGTCATTGTCTATGAGGGAAACACTTTCTCCCAGTGATCACACAAGAGAGGTAAATTTAAATATAACTTAATTTTTAAGACATCTTCTATTTAGAATTCATCGTGAAAATTCATTTCACCATGAAATTACTTACCCTTTTTTATGATTAAACACGCTTGAGCAATACCCTTTTTATTGAAATTAAAAAGTACAGATGTGCAAACATTGAATCTTATGATATCTTATGATAAAACTCTTTTTAATCTGTATGATACCAATTATATTTTTTTTTAAATATTTGTCACCTAAATTGGGCTCTTTTTTGTATATTGTTAAAAATATATTTGAAATAAATCCACCACAACAAGACATAAACCTCGGCAGTCTCAACTGTAATTCAGGAGCCTATCACTTCAAAGTTTATATAATTAGAGATATTCAAACTAACTTAAATTAACAATTAACATGCGTATAATAATTGTTAATTTAAGTTATTTTTAATAATTAATTCATTTAAAAGTAAACATGCCACAAACAGCAGTATTTCATTTCAATTATATATAAATACCCGTTTATTAATTTAATTATTAGCTAATAGTAAATGGCATGTAAGCTGTTACAGCCGTACTAATGTGAACATTTAAATTAGTCATTAATATGATTAGTTAACAGTTTAGGGTGCTGAATAATGTAGATAATCCGCAGGTGTATGGGCAAATCTGCATAGATTAATCAAGTACAATAGAGCAACATTAATGATTGGAGGCCTCTACTCAATAATTGATTGTTTCTATTTGTATTATCCCATTTCAGTGGCGTTTATTGAACTAAAATCAGTTCATTAGAAGTTATAATGATAATATTGATTGAGGCCTTAGAAAGATAACCTTAGTTAACATACACTTATATTATATCTTAAGAATAACTATTAGATTTAATTGAAGTTAAATTATGACATATATGTATCAAAATGTACATATTTGAAACGTATACTCAAATTATGAAATATTTGGAAACTATTTCAAAATAATTATTAAAGTTTTAAATATGTTTTTACGTAGAATGTTACGGATATTTTTGGTGCGCTCGGAGCTAAAATATGTTCAATAATCCGTGATATGACTAATATCATGCCTCACAGAAGAATGTTCTTGGCTTTGTATAGTGTACGTTGCATACAAGGCACTTAATTTTATATCGTGATGTGGACAGGAGCTATTTATTGCAGGATGCTGGGAGTATATTGGATCCTCGGGCTGCGGCTGCGGTCGGTCAATCCGAGCTTATGTCAATGTATGATGCTATGTTCTCGCAATATAACGTAAAAATTGCACAGGTATGATACTTAAAAATAAATTATTAAAATATTTTACTGTACGGTCGTAATAAGCTAACGGCGTTTCTCTAACTTTTTATTTTTTTGGTTGGTTTTAATATGTTTATGAAAAAGACGGTCAGACATAATATATAACAAAAGACGGACAGTATAATTCACGACATTTTTGTTTAGCTATATATTATTGTATACATACATAGTAACAGATTAAAATTGTGTTCAATTAGAATATATAATAGATAACCATTGATTAAAACATTTTGATAATAAGTTTACAACCCTAACACACTTGAAATGTATGAATTTAATGGACCGTAAAATGAGAAAGGTTCCTAAAATAATTATAATAGATTTTATTATCACGAGCTTTTGGTTTAAAAACTAAAATATTGCAAGGGTTAGGACGGACTGTTAAATTAATTACTCTTTTAAATTAAAATGTCTGCATTTGATAAAGTTTTCGTGTTTTCAATTTATAATTACAGTTATAAGAGTACATATTTTAATCTTGTTTTAACTAATTTCAAAATGCATTGGGTTCTTGAAGAATATTATATTTTTACACATAATTATTTGGGAAAAGAAAAAGATACAAAATACTTAAATTTATGTTATTTTTTATTATATGTTTAATTTATGGAAGTAGCATTGCATTATAAATTGCACACGCAAGACGGTAAAGCTAACTTATAAAGCAAAGGATTTGAAACAGTAATTTACTATTGTTGACATTCGTATAAAAATATGATACATATATAACTATAACACCATATTATATATATAACCTATAACAAAGGCTTTGTCATCATAATATTTCTATGTTATAGTAGTCAAATTATGACTCCATATTGAAATCGGCATCGGTAGTATATATACTTGCTGATGTAACTCCTTACACAAATCACAAGATTTAGCTACTTTGTTGGTATTTAAGACAAGATAGTCATAGAAGACATTGTACATGGTACAGCACTAAAGATTTAATTAATATTTTAATTATTCTAGTTTGTAACTTCGCAGAATAAATTACAATCGTTGTAGGAAGTCCTGTTGATAAATTACACGGTTTGAGAAGAAAACTATTTTAATATCGGTCGCCTGAAGAAACAGTGCCTTTTCAGTATCCCCCTATACATTACGTCAAGTAGAAACTTCGACTTTAATGCGAAACAATTTCCGCTACTAGGAATTAGTAGTGGAATAAAATTCGCTTTAGTGCGGAAATATTTTGTTACGGAATTAGTTTTAAACTTAATTTATAACATCTCACTCGCGTCTTTAGAAATAAAATAGAATTGCATTTCATTAAGAACAAAGTCTTTGTTATTTACCAGTTAAAACTTGGTTAATTGCAAACGCTTGTACCTTTTCTTTTTTTAATTAAGTGCCATTAGCATTTATTTACAATGCTAAGTACGAGACTCTATGTATTCAGTAAATGCTATTCAAAGGCAGCATTATTCAAAGACAAGTTTTGGCGCGGTCAATCTGCCATCTGTCAAACTATGACAATATTGTTTGCCTTACGTCCGGGCTAAAATCCATGTTTAACGTATACTATAGAACGTATACTATAGAACGTATACTATAACGTAACTTATTAATTAATTCGACTGTCTCTTATAACTTATTAGTAAATCGATTTCCTCAATACAGTTCTATTCAAAACATGACGTCGTAAATCGTTTTACACTTACACATGTCTAATAGACGTTTCTTTGTTATCTTCATTTATAATCTCATAAACAACTGTTCGTTTCATTGAGTATCTATGTTATTATTAATCACTACTATTCCTTAAGCACATATTGATTATGCTGTAATCCTCAACGGTTTTTATACTAGTATTTTGTTTTATATAAATAGCTAACAAAACAACAACTTATTATGACGTAAATTCTATTGTTTTGCAATCAAGCGTAACTATAAATTCAAAAACGAATAGTTACACCTTTAATTATGCATCCATAGTATTTGTCAGAAATTGTAAATAACAAAAAGTATATGTAATTTATTGATAAACTCTATATTACAGGTATTAGTCACCAAACCAGACTTCTACAACGAGGAGACACGGAAGAATTTATTCTGCACCTTATCAGAGTTGATATCATTAAACATAGTGCCCATAGTTAACACGAATGATGCCGTCAGTCCCCCGATGTATATTCATGATGACACTGTTGTACCTGGAACAGGGAAGAAGGTAAGAATAGTGGTATTAATTTTTATGAATAAAGTTTTGGTTTGAGCATTTATTAAGGGTTTAAAAAGGACATATTTTTGGGTAAACTGAATTAATTTTTTACATTTTAATTGACATTGAAAAGGATCATAATTGCAGTTTTCTATGTAAACGGAGTTTTTTTATTGCTAGTCACAGAGTTGTAGCGCGCCTACTAATTACTGCACTGAATTTGATGACCAAATAAACAATCTTGCTATCGCCGTTTTGGTATAGATTCAGAAGGCATTAAGCAAACATCATGTTTTTTTTTAATTCCTGATCTTTCGATGTAACCTACTGTACATAATTTAACAATGTAGTCACTAGCCAATATAGCGAGTTAATAGTTATGTATACATATTCTTTAACTATAAATAAACAAGCAATCATTATTCAGACAAGACTAATGGACAGAGCGTAAAATTTGCAAGATTATTTATGTGTTTACATTAATGTAATTAAGTTGTACTTAAATATCAGATATTTTTTTCGCTTCAGTCAGAGCTTCATATTTACAGTTTTTACGATACCCAGTATTGATGTCGTACTTTTATTAGTCTCTAAATAATTCGTGGATATCCCTACGGTCTTTATTCCAACACAAAGAAAACTTATATTCAATCCTCCGGTGTGAGACTCCGTAAAAATAATCATAGTAATATCAGTAATAATGTTAAATCTCTACTTCTACCAGAAACTTGTCTAGCGAAATATATTTTCTTAAGTTATTTGGTACAGTATAAGACAAATACCACACTTATATTTTGCATAGAAAGTACCCTCTTTATTTATAAAAACCAAATCATTTATAACTAAAGTACTCTTTTGTCTATTTCTAATAATTTATACTGTCATGAAACAGATATAACTGTAGTACAATTATTCTTCCTTTTTTTATATCAATAAATGAGGTGATAAACGTTAATTACTGTTTAGTAATACATCTAGAACTTTTAACAGTTCTCTACTAGCGTTACGAAATCGTACTAAGGGCGATATCAGATGCAATCTTTACAGTATCGTGGATAGAATGGTCATTGTTTCTTAGCTGCGTTAACTTTAACCACCTAATTAGTACAGCCAAGCCTCGTTGGCAATACCGCAAAACCGTGCTAATCTACATTCAGTCAATTCGAACCTAATGCAAAGTTTAATGCTGACTGTGGGATGAAACTTTACTGTTACGACAAGATGGTTTCCCCAGTTATGATGCCATTCAAACGTCATGCTAAACCCTAATGGGTACTTAGTTTCGGGGAGCGCCTTAAAGACTGCTTATGGTTGAATTCTATCACTGTATAAGCATTGTTGCGAGGTGATGTAAATGTCTTTAAGATATTTTGACGTATTTTTTATTACAAAAATACTCATATTTGCATTTTACTTTTGTAAAGAATATGTCTTTTATGCATATAGGTTTTAATTCACATTGTTTAGTCAATATTGTATTAAAACGAAATTGTTACAACCTTATTTTTAAACGTACTTTAAACCTTCAACAGTAATTGAATGTTTTAATACTCTCGTGTGTCAATATAAGTATTAGTAGTACATAGGTCATTTAACGACTTAAGTTTTTTAGGGTATAGGTATAAAAGATAATGACAGTCTCTCAGCTCTCTTAGCAGCAGAGATCCAATCAGATCTCTTAATTATGATGTCAGATGTTGACGGTATCTACAACAAGCCGCCGTGGGAAGACGGTGCTAGAATGATGCACACGTACACTTCTAAGGATAGGGATTTAGTTCAGTTCGGTCAGAAGTCGAAGGTAATTCTTTTGTTATTCCAAAATAAAGTGGGGCATTCAATAACGTTTTTTCACATAAAATTCCTGACGCATTTTTATAGGTTGGTACTGGAGGTATGGATTCTAAAGTTAACGCTGCAACGTGGGCTATGGCGAGAGGTGTAAGCGTAGTGATTTGCAACGGCATGCAAGAGAAGGCTATAAAAACTATTATCAGTGGCCGAAAAGTTGGTACATTCTTCACAGATAGTCCCACTACTTCTACTACGTCTGTGGACGTAATGGCTGAAAATGGTAAGAGTGTCTTACATCGTGATAAAATTGTGAAATAAAAAAAATTATTAATTAATTTTAAATTATTTCAGCTCGATCGGGAAGTCGCGTATTACAACAGCTTAGTCCAGCTGAAAGAGCCTCAGCTATTCATTCTTTGGCTGATCTTCTTGTTGAAAAGAAAGATCTCATTCTAGAAGCCAACTCTAAAGATTTAGAAGAAGCAACTAAAGGCGGCTTAGCAAAACCTCTCTTGGATAGACTGGCATTGAGTCCAGGAAAGTTGAAAACATTATCGATAGGCTTAAAGCAAATTGCCGACTCCAGTTACGAAAATGTCGGAAGGTTGTTGCGCAAGACAAAATTGGCTGAAAATTTGATACTGCGTCAAGTCACAGTTCCAATTGGGGTTCTACTTGTGATCTTTGAATCTCGGCCAGATTCTTTACCACAAGTCGCAGCCTTAGCTATGGCCTCTGCAAACGGGCTTTTATTAAAAGGAGGCAAGGAAGCAGCGTATTCAAATAAGGCTTTGATGGATTTGGTTAAGGAAGCTTTGCAAAGTGTTGGAGCTCAAGATGCCATATCATTAGTATCTACACGCGAAGAAATCAGCGATCTGCTTGCGATGGAGAAACATATAGACTTGATCATACCTCGAGGCTCGTCAGACTTAGTTCGCAGTATTCAAAAGCAATCGCAGCACATTCCAGTATTAGGTCACGCTGAAGGGATATGTCACGTTTACCTGGACAAAGATGCAGACCCATCGAAGGCCTTGAAAGTCATAAGAGATTCAAAATGCGATTATCCGGCCGCATGTAATGCAATGGAGACTTTACTGATCCACGAAGATCATTTATCGGGAAGTTTGTTCACGGATATTTGTAGTATGTTGAAGAATGAAGGCGTCAAAATTAACGCTGGGCCGAAGTTGTCCGGGCATTTGACGTTTGGACCGCCCCCAGCAAGAAGTATGAAGCATGAATATAGTGCTTTGGAATGTTGCATAGAAGTTGTGAGTGACATTAATGAGGCGGTGGATCACATTCATAAGTTTGGCAGTTCACACACTGACGTGATTATAACGGAGAATGGTAAGTCGCAGAGTTAATAACATTCACAATGTACGTCTGTCAGAATACAATATTTTTAACGTGCCTGTGAGAAATCGCTTTTTAATGATAAGGATTTTTACTAAAGGAGAACTAATACATAATGAACTATGTATTTTTTTAGAAAACGTGTTCCATACCGTATTGTCACTGACATTTATGTTTTATTCGCATGTCTATTGCTTTCAAAAGTATATTATATGTAACTCACGCAAAAAAATACAAATTGTATATTATTATTGTTTGTATCTCGCTTGCAATTCACGAGTTGCTACCAAAAGAATGAAGAGGTTCTTTAGAAAGCTGGGGACACATGTCTAACATGAGCAGGGGCCCCTACGAGACTCAACTCATTTGATGTGTAGCAGAGGACTATTACTGATATTCCTAAATTAATATTGTGTAAATAAAACCAATTGAAAATTGCAGATAATACAGCCAAAACGTTCCTCAACTCAGTAGACAGTGCCTGTGTCTTCCACAACGTGTCGTCGCGTTTCGCAGACGGATTCCGTTTCGGACTTGGCGCTGAAGTTGGTATCTCCACGGCGAGAATCCACGCTCGAGGTATTTATTATTTCTTATTTCGGATGGAAGTAGTAGGCTATATAAAATATACACTGTTGACACACACATATGTATGATTTTTGCGTCATTAGAGGACTATACATTGAATACAACTTCAACGTATATTAACATAATTTTCTAATTACGTTTCGAGTAGTTTTCAGCAACAGTGGAAAGCAAAAGTCTCTACTATCAATGTTATAAACTCACGTTTATATCTGTTAAACAAGTTTAAAAAATGTATGTATGTGTGTACTTTACACATATTTTTGTGTTATTCTAATGCTGGTTTAATAATTTGAGAAAATTAATAAATAATTACGCCGGAGTCACCAATATAATATTCATAGTTGTTTAATATATAAGTTTAATGTCTGCTCTCAACAACATGGTATATGCAAATTAAACGCGCTACATAAGAACCCCTACAGGAAATTATTAGATTATGGTTAGATAAAATTTACTTCAAAATAATTTCACTAATTCTGAAACATTGCATTTGGTACAAGTAAATAGCATAATCATAGCATTAAAATTTAATCTTGAATTATGTAACTCTAACATTTGGGGCCGCGGGTTGCAAACAAAACTTTAACATCTGCTTAACTTTTGGCGTGGTTTTCAAAATAAATAGTAGAGCTTTACAATAGAGGTTTCTTTGATTCATTAATTACTTAATTAAACAGGTTATTATGGATATATGTGAGTGATATACACAAATGTTTCTGTGACTGATACAGTATTTTATATATTACGTAGAAGTTTCCTCATAATGTTTTACATCATCATACAACGAAGTTTTATTATATTTATGCACAGCCGAGCTTTGAACTGACCATTTTAGAGTCGAAAGTCTCACGCTTAACCACTAGCTGGAAATAAAATTATAATTTAATGTCATATAGCTTTTCACTTGTACTCTCTGTGGTAATCCACAATCAATAAGTTACTGAAATAAACATATTTCTAAAAATGTGTATATATATGTACTAGCGTTTACACAAACCCTTCATTGCAAATCAAGTTTGATATGGCAGAAATATAAAATTGTTGTTTTGTTTGAGGAATCTCTCAATTTGAACTTTATTTTCAAAATTATTGACGACTTTTAGTAAAAATACAAGTATATTTTTGTTGTCAAATGAAGTTTTTCAATAGATCTTTGTTCACGTATAGTAGTTCAGTGTTTATCCGCTGAGATAAGAGAGAAAACGTCTGGATTGATTTTAATTATAATGTTGATTTGAAAATCATTCATATTTAAAATTCTTATAACTTTAAATGTATATTCGTTCCTAAATTACCACTTAAATGCAAATACTTGCATTAAATAATAAAATCTCGTTAGGTCAGTTATTGTGTGTATTGACAAAATTAAACTATTTCTCATCAGGTCCTGTGGGTGTCGAAGGTCTTTTGACAACAAAATGGGTTCTTGAAGGCACCGATCACACTGCAGCTGAGTTCAACGAAGGCAAGCGTCAATGGCTCCACGAAAAACTACCTATAAATTGACTCGCACATTTTCATATATTGCTGAAAATTATATATGGATATAAATATTAATTATACACACATACATCTATAATTAACCTTAATGTTTTTTGTTAGGAAGAAATGTTTAATAGTTTAATTTAAAATGTATAACTACATAAAAGTAATCATTTTATTTATTTATGATTGTATGATTTTAAGTAAAAATAGAATATTTATATTTTGTATTTGAAATAAATGTTTTTTATGTGTATCATAAATTATTTCGTCTCTGAAAAGCGAAATTAATTAAACTACTAATGAATAGCAATTAATATTGTCACTATCACGGTATAATCGAAATTAAAGTTACGTTTGTACAACCCATGCATATTCAATTAGGTTTTAATACATTTATTTATTATGTATGCATCATTTAAATATACTGAATAATAAGATTATACATTTCTTTGTCTGCCAATGCGCTATAACTATTAAAAAAATAAACAATTTTATTCGGATATATCCCGAATCCGAATTGGTATTATTAATACGAATGTGATGGAATCATATTCGTGCGTTATATTTCGCAAACCCGTGGGACTGAGGTTGCTATGAAAAGGTAATGAGCGGACATAGCGGATTTTTGTGACAGGATACTCCTTTTGTTCATTATTCATTAGTAAAAAAACTTATAATACCTTGACTGAATACTAAAGATATTATTGCTAATATGATTTTTGTTATTAGATTAAGTAATTTGTAATCCAATCTGTCAGGGCTCGTTGAATTTGGCCTTAATTAGAGGTCATTAGCAGTTAGGGCTTGAAACGTGTGTGGCATGCCTGAATTTGAGAAATTACTAGATTACCTATAACGTACCTAGACCTATGTCAGATCAAGGTTAGGTTTAATAATTAATGACTGAATTATATGTATACTCAAATAATCATAAATTGAATGTCTACAAAATCTCTGAGCTTCTCATAGCAATATATATCTCTATGCGACAATACTGTTCAACCATTTCTATTTCACGGACAATTTCTACTAGCCAATGACCTAGTTCCCTATCAATACAAACTTCGTTATATTGTACCTCTATAACTGAAAGCGAACACGATAGGTGTCCGTATAAAAGGCTGAATAAGTGCAAATCAAATAACCTGAAATATTTATTAAAATATGACAATTTAAATCGTAGGTAGAAGATCGAAGTACGGCACAGAAATGCAACAGGAATGTTTGAGGAAAATACGGAAGAAAATAAGGCGTTAGAGATACGTTGTGAGTCTCAAAAGACACATTGTACGTTATTTGACCTCATAATACATAACAATATTGTATTTTTAAATTCAGAATAAAAACAAAATTAAATACTATAGTTCAAATACCTATAAATTATACATAATGTATGGTCATTTTAAAGCTTTCGATGCCCTTGAAATAGAACTTCAACGATCAAGCTTTTAAATTAACTATCGATGTTGGTATTAGACAATATAATCTTTATACTAACTGAACAGATATCCAACAAGATTAGATCTATTTCTTGGTTCAGTGGCGCACAGTGCACAGCCACGGTTCGAACTATCGACTTCAGGGAGTCGCGCGCTGATAACACTGGGACTAAACATAACGCGGCTTCATATATCAGAAATCCTTAAATTACTTAAATTAGAAGAGGCTCACTGTGTTTTAGTACAATTGTACTAATTACGCAAATCGCAAAATCTCTTACAAAATGCCTTTGATGTCAAGTTGAGAAAATTTTATCCCGGAATCCAGCAGAAAAGAGAAAATGAAATAATTTGAAATAAGAAATTTCCTTTGTTTTTAGCGCCACAGAAGACGTCCCTAAGTTTCATCGTGACATCAAGGATTGCATTCATTATGAGTAAAGCACAAAAGCTTGCATCTTTTAACGCGAAGCTTTGATCGTCTTAAACAAGAAACTTTCATCGTTGGCATTTATGTACAAACTTATTTTCCTTATTTAAATGAATAATAGGAGCTCCCGAGTTTTTAAAATTTGCAAATAAAGGGCGACTCATGAATATTCTGAAAAATTAGAGTATTCTGTATTTGTGGGGTTTTCGTTTGAGCCGAAAAGTATTATTAAGAGGAGAAAAAGATCTCTGTTGACAATAATTAAGAGTGAGACGCAGCTTTGCATTTGCTCAATTTTCCACCACATAGAAACCATAAATGCACTGTAAATCGTAAATGTGCGTATGAAATTGGAGTAATCATCCAATAATAAAACGCGCTATAAATTCTATAGCTAAAACACTGTACTGACATATCTTCGACTGTTAATGCAAAAAGATGTTAAATCTGATCGTAAATTTTTTGACTTGATCCAAGGCTAGCTGGCTTGAAACACGAGATCCGTCCGGAGAGTTGGTGATACTTACGTAAAAATAAAAAACAAATTTTCCATCCATTAAAGTGAGATCTACAAATTTAAATAATATTTCTCCCTATTAAACTGTAAAATATTAAAAAAACTTCGCTTTGATGATAGTAATCTTAATTGAACTTTGAATTAAATAAGTATACATAAACATTTGTAAAAGTTCAAAGCGATAAGCGTTTCCCTTGAAAGCTTATTTTTATAGCATATCACAAAATCTAAATCTTATATCGTAAACATCTGCTACATATAAAATTTAAGTTCAAACAAATCTTTGCATTTGACGTATACAAAAAGTTTATGTTTTGAACTACATTGAGTGCTCAGTGATTCGGTTATTTCTACAACTTTTATGGTTAAGGATATTAAGGAATATTTAAGCATAAATGTGTACTAAAAATTGAGGATTTTCTTTTCCACACAAAATAATTTAAGAAAGAGACATAATTTAATAACTGCAATGACAATCTAAGAATGATGGTTAATTAAGAGTGTAATTATTTTTACAATTTATAAAAACTCGATTGATACTTTGAGTTATACTGAAAAATGGATGAAATAAAGTCCATGATTTTTCAAATAGTTCTCGATCAGAGAGAAGTTGAAAGTAATAAGGTACATTGTAAGGTAAATGTTGGTGGGTATTCGAACCCTTATAAATCTTTGACTAAGAGTACTTACTCTAGTACATCATAAAAATGTCTTCAAGATTATCTAAGATATAATTTTTTGTTTTCTGTATATTCATCCTCGTTGTACGAAGACAAAAGCTATATCCATAAAGACAATTCATTGGGTAATAATTAACGGCGCAAGCACTGAAAGTGTGAGGGTAAAATACTTTCTTTGGAGTGTTTACGATATTGTAAATATGTCTAATCCAAATTTAGATTCATATTTATGCCCTGATATACGTGTCTGAAATGTTTATAAGAATCCTAAGTCAAAAGAATTTAAGTAATTGGTAAAATAAAATATTACGACCGGCCTGAATCATTACAACTGTGAACATCAGAGAGAAAAATGTTTATTTTATATTCTAAAGGTGTGACAAATCTTATTGAAGTTATATCATTTTTAATGGCAACACTGAATTAAATAATAACAAATAATAAATAAAATTTACGCCCACTAACAAATATAGGATAATTGTATGCAAACAATAGCGTACTCCATATAATGTGAAAAAATATAAAACCTGTAATTTGGTATAAATAAGCAGAAAGCTTCTAAGTAGCTTTAATAATAATATTAAACAACTCTTGGATATCGTTCGTATGGTGTACATGTTGAACGAAATAATACAACGGTAATAGGTATTAATATCACTGACATTATAGTGTCTTACATCCTCTCAAGCTCACGAACAATTGAAGCTAAGAAACGGTTGAAACTCGTAAACGCGAGCTCACTGAACCGTTAAGGGTATAAAAATCACAAGAACAGCACCTCTAGAGTTATAAAATCTTTACTCAATAGCCACCTTGGCTTTGTAACATTCGATTTTCAAATTTAATACACAATCAGTGGACTTTTATCTCACCCGTTTCTTAGATTTTATTTACAGCTTGTGAGACATATTACTAAAAATACTGTTAAAATTATCTATGTAACAAACTTATGGACACGAATGCAGTAAGGATACATTATGTAGTGAAACTATATCGTTTAGTCATATTTATTTGTCTACGTACCAAGGGAGCCAATACCGAGGTTTTGTGTAGTAGTATTTTTGCTTCATGGTTTTGTATGAATAAAGAGCATACACTTTTCTTAAGTCTATGTATGATAACTGATTTATTGCAATAAAAGCGAACATATTATTCTTTAAAATAATAATTAATTAATTTTTTTCATAGTTTCATCATATTCTTGTTGTTTCTAAATACATGCTGTGCATACAATATGCAAAAGTGTTTGAACAAAACATGAGAAAATATTTTTCGCATTTTAAATATTCATATAAAAACTTTTTAGTTAAGAATATAGGAAATTGCTGTCTTTGAGAAATTATTCGGCACGTTTGAACTCAAAATTAGATGATAATGAGAAGCCAGAGCGAAAAGGTGTTGTTTACTTACGAAGTTTGTAATCGAAAGTCGTCAAATTAGGCTATTTATTAAAATTCTCTTAATAATGAATGTTAATTATATTACGTGGGTACTTTAAAGCTTCAGAGCCCCTAATGTTTAATATAAGTATATATACGATGACAATAATTAGTAGGAGATTGCGTTCGAACCTAATAGTCTTTTCATTATTATTGTTGAATTAGTATCGCCGCCAGCTCCAGCGTAGCTCGCACCACTGTGGACTTTAAATTAACCCTAATACTTGCCAATGTATCTCTTGTATGCTCATACAAAAATATTGTCCATACAATAAAGGACCATAGCATGGGGAAACCGACGCGTCATAGAAATGCAAGAAATTATATTAATGTAGTTAAAAGGTCCAAGGTAAATCCACCAATGCACTGCCGTGATTTTAATCACTAGGCTGCTCACTAGCATACTGTACATATCTAGTCAAATATTATTTCTTGAATTGACTTTCAAGTGATCGTTGAAACAAAAGAGATTAATACCGAATCCTGTATCCCAAGAGTATTTTATTATATTAATTT